GAGGGACACTATGTCACCTCTATGGAAGAAGATGAACAGCATTACACAGTGAGGTCTGGAACCTGATGTCTGTAAAACTTCACTGCAATACCTGGGAGATGGCCCTGTCCACAGATCAGCTCCAACCCAGAATTCGCTGACCAGTGGTGATCTCTAGCTACCCCTGTGTCAGCGGGGATGTGGGGTATGCGAGAAAGGCCATTTCTGTTGAGAAGGAGTGGAAAATCATAGTATAGTTCAAACAGTGTTCAACGTGTCATTTATTATTTTAACCTCTGCCACAGCTACATGGTGAACAAATAATTTATTTCAGTGCTAGGATTAAAGGAATATCAGACTGATGAAAACAATAATCCCAATGATGAGCACATACTATTTAGATTAAAATCTAGCACTTACTAACACAAAAAAAATTTTGGGAAAAGTTTCTTTACATATTGTCTGCAAAATGGCTTTTTAACAGCTTTCGAAAACCTCAACAAAAAAGGAGCTTTAGCCCTCACGTTATAATAAGTGATTATAAAGTGATATTCAGCCTGAGCAATTTGGTCAACCAAAAAAGAATAATTAGGATGTGCTGGATGGAAAAAGGATTGAAGTAATACTCTTCTCTATGGCTAGTGGTTCTCAAAATAATGGTTATAAAATAGGATATAAGTTTTCCTAGACCAGGCTTTCAGATTCTATGTAGCTTTTCAAATTGTACTTATTCAAATTGTACTTAGCATTGATGTATTTATTCTTAGTTGTCTTTAGCATTGATATATTTATTCTCATTTGCTTTACTCACTTTTTCTGTTCATCATGTGAACTCAGCCTGAGATTTAAAAAAAAAAAAAGATTTCTGATTACAGAAAAGGAGATCCCAGTTTCAAACTGTGGTGATATTATTTCTTATTTAAATCATAGAGTTAGTACTTTCTCAAAATTTCATTTACAAATACTATTGTATAAGTGTCTTAATCCACAGACTGTCTGCTAAATTAAGCATAGTAAGGTGGCACTTTTTTTTTTTTTTTTTGGTAGGACTCATCGTAGAAACCAATTCTGGTTTAAAATCGTACAGAAATAAAGTCCCCCAAGTTTTTCTGCCTTCTTTTTATTAAGACATCTACTGCACTAACACTCCCAGAGTTTTGGGCAAAAAATGCTATGAAAAGGTGGCACCCCTGAAACAATCAAATGTGTTAATGCATCTTCTAAGAATATGAGATGGAACTAGTGAAATGCCCTCTTAAATGGTAAACAAGGAAGGGCGACTATGGGGCAAATGTTTCTATATTGTGCCCTTTTGTAGGGACACTAGCTCATGGGGCATATTGTTACAATTCGAATACATGAAGAATTGTACTGAACCCTTCCCCTTTTTTTCAAACCCTGTGATGATAGGATGGGATTTGTTTTTAGTTTTATAGTTTTCAAAGCAGTTTTATATAATAATGTATTAACCTTTAATGAAAATTCAATATATATTGACTAATGGTCATGAGAGGCTTTACCCATTAATAATATGATTTTTCAAAGTGCTCTACTGAATAGATTAATCACTATCATCATCATCAGAGAAACCATTCCAAAATCAGAAATGTTTTTGTTATTAGTCACCATGGGCTAAGTTGTAGTTTTTCCTATACTTTACAGAACTTTTGGTGTTCAATTTTGTATAAATAGGATCTATGTATGTATATCTGGTTGTATAAAGGTTTCAAACCATATGAGATGTCCCGATCTACCTTATCTCAATAACTCGCCATGTTTCTTGTTTCTCATTTAACGTCACAAGACCTCGGGGGTCGGTAGAAGGACCACCTGAGGCCTGGGAGTGCCCGCTGGGTGCGCGGCAGAGGGAAGTCGTCACATCGCTTCCCTTCCGCCTGTGGGGAGGGAGTCCTGCCTCGGAATGTGATAGGAGGTTTTGACAATTTTAATGAAAGCTTCTGCCAGTTTTTTGTCTAAAGGCGATAAAAGGTCTGTTCTTTGGAAACTTAAAATAGCGGCTCTACTCCCTTAAGCACTAGGAGGCCCTGGCCTGGGCCCAGACTGCACACGTGTTCTATAAAAGGTCAGATAAGCAAGTATTTTAGGCTTCGTGGGCCATATAGTCTCTCTCATGACTACTCACTCTGTCGTTGTCCTGCAAAAAGCAGGCATGACACATGGGTGTGGCTGCGTTCCATAGAACTCTCTGTTCCCATAAAGCTTTATTTACAAAGGCAGTGGGTCGGACTTGGCCCGTGGGCCATAGTTCACCAATGACTGGCCTAGCAATAAGAGAAAAAAAGGAAAATTGATATCCCTCTGCCTCGTAATGCAAAGTTTATCTCTGCTGTGGATCTAGGGACTCTTAGCAGATTACATTATCACTATCATGTGTATCACTGCTGAGAATTTCTTGTTGTACCTTAAGAGGTGTGTGTCTGGGAGGGGGAGGGAGGGCTGCTCACAGCAGGCAGTTGGGGGGGGGCGCTCTTTCGAGAGGCGTGGGCAGCCTTAAGGGACCTGCGGAGGGACGGTGAAGTGCGTGAGGACTGGGGGCACCAGCCAGTGGTGGTCCCCTCACTAGGGGAAGATGGGGTGTGCAGGCACGAATCAGAACTGGACTCTGAAGGGGGCCATCGCAGGACGCGGGGCCGCTGAGGAGCGCACTTCATGCATTCTGGAACGATGGCGAAACGGGGCCCAAGAAATGCGCTGGCCCTGTCTCCCCGGGTCCTGAGTCTCCGGCGGTGCCTCCCACGGGCGGACGCCCGTGGATCCGCAGAAGACAAGGGCCTCGAGGTGCCGCGGTCCCCGGCATCATTTCCCGTGGCACACAGGAAGCCACAGAAAGGCGGAGTATAAATGAGGAGTCGGAAGGTGGCTGGGTTATTTTCAGGAATCACCCCAGATGACTAGAGCTTTGCAGGACCCTCCAGGAAGCCATTACTTCTGAGTTTACTGAGACAAAATTAAAATACAATAAACCGCCCTTCCTTACAGTGAACAATTTGGTAACTTTTGGCATATATATATATATATATCTCCATCCTGAAAAACGTCACTCCAATCAGGATAATGACCATCTCACCGCCTGAGAAACTTCCTGGCACCCCTGTATAATCCCCTTCCACACATTTCCATCCCTCTGCCCAGAAAACCACCCATCTATCTGCTTTCTATAACTGCAGACTAGGTTACAGTTTCTAGAATTTTATATCAATGGAATTGTATGCTATATACTTGGTTTTGTTTTGTTTTGTTTTTCCCGGGTTGTCTTCTTATCATCACTCTGACACTCATCCAGGTTCTTGTGTGTGGAAGTAATGCCTCCCTTTTTACTGCTGAGGATTCCACTGTAAGGGAGCAAATTTGTTTATTCGATCACCTCATGGTGGACAGCTGGGCTGTGTCTGCTTCTTGGCTATTGCAAATTAAGCTGCTCTAAATATGCGAGTGAAAGGTCGTTGTGGGAATGCATAGAGGGTTGCAGGGCCGACCCCGAAAGATGTGACCAGGCTGTAATTCCTGAACCCCGTGAATGTGGCCTCATTTGGAAACAACTTCGGCAGGTGCAGTTGAGTTAGGGCTCCCGAGGGGAGGCCGTCCCGGACATAGGGTGGACCGCAGCGCCCCAGGCCTGGCGCCCCCCTGAGAGAAAGGCGAGGCAGGGCCGACGCACAGCAGGAGAGGCCAAATGCAGAGCATCAGAGGGCGGGCAGGGAGTCCACAGTCGACGGGCAGGATCAGCTCATGATGATGAAGAGGATTCGTCATCGAGACCACAGAACAGTCGAAAACACGTGTGCAGCTAAGAGCCGAACTTGCAAACACCAGTTTTCAGAAGAAAAAAACTGAGAACGGCAAGAAGGCAAAGCGCTTACAGGAACTGATGGAACAAGTCGATGGAAAATCCATGAAGATAGGGGAGGTCTGAACAACGCTATCAACCGGCATAACTGGTCCACCTGAACATTCCCCTCAACAGCGGCAAACCGGACATTCTGTGCGAGCGCTCAGGGGACTGTATCCTGGGCCTTCAAACAGGGCCCAGGGCATTGTTAAAAACTCAGGTTACACAGATAATGCATTCGGACCACAGTACCTACGGATTTGGGTTTTGTTTTCTTCTGTGTAAGTCCCTGCCTAACCCCTCCCCCTCCACGTTTGGTGGGGTGTGGGGGGGGGGTAGGGATGACATTGTACACGCAGCACCTGGTCCAATCCTGTTCCTAACAAGACCCAGATCCAGCATCAGCACTTGTGAAACAGCGCTCGCAAGGAACACTCGCGGATCCTTAACTGCTGCCCCTTAAAACCCGCCCCAAAGCCTGGATCCAGGGGACCCACTGGAAGGAGCCTGGCCTCCCAGCTGGCACGTAAAGCTCCTCTTTTCCCAAAAGCCGGTGCCGTAGCCTTGGCTTCCGTGCTCTGGGGACATCGGACCCTTGTTCAGGGACAAGATTGAAGAGGGCAGGTGGCCAATGTGCTCAGGTAAGCGCTGCACAGGCTTTGAAAATCCCCAAATTTTCGCCGCACTGGCGCTGTTTACGTTTAGGCACCGACGTCTACAGCTAGGAAATGTGCCTTGCGTCTCCTAAAATGCACGTGGAAATATTTTCCATGCGCCTCCCAAATACAGGTGCTTAGGGCAGGTGTCCAGGAGTGCCCTCCATCGGGGACCCTAGCTCCTGGCGCTGGGAATGTTCCTGGTAAAAGGGAAGGGGCTGAGACTGCCTGGGGGAGGGAGGAGGAAAGATCTGGAACCCGCCGGAGCCTGGGGTGGCCCGGGAGCACGTTCCCGGGCCTCGCTCTGCGCAGCCCCGCGGGCCTGGGAGGCTCCGCCCCCGCTCCCCCCACCCCACATCCCTGTGCTTCGCGGCCGCAGCAGGCGAAGGCTGAAGGCTGCTGAATTTTGTCCCCAGCGGCGACCTCTCTTCCCGTGGTGGCGGCGGTGGCGTCCCTGGCGGTGGGAGCCGAGCGCCCAGAAGACGCCCGGGCCGGCCCGGCGGCCTAGTGGCCGCCAGACGTGGAGGCCGGGCCGCCGCCCCGCGCCGCCCCAGCAGAGGGGAACGTGGGGAAGGCCCCGCGCCCCTCCCGCCCTCCGGCCGCCGCCCGCCCCCCGGGGCCCGGGCCGGGGAGGGGGCGCGGTGTGCACGCCTGGAGCCGCCGGAGATGGCGGGAGGGCACTGCGGCAGCTTCCCCGCGGCGGCGGCTGGCAGCGGCGAGATCGTGCAGCTCAACGTTGGGGGGACCAGGTGGGCCGGCGGAGTGGGGCCTGGGGCGGGTATGCGGCCTGGGGCGTGGGCGGCGGGTCGCGGGAACGCGGGCGAGTGTGGGGGACGTAGGGGCCCTCCTGGCGGGAGTGGCGTGGATCTGGACTGGGTGACATCTGCGCCGCGAAGGGACAGGCTCTGGGGCCTCTCGGGGTTCCGGGGAGTCGGGCCGTGCTTGGCGGGGCTGCTGCCTCCCTGCAGTGCCCCCTCTGTCCCTGCCTTGCCTGGCCTTGTGGCTCGGCTGCGGCGGGGGAACAGCCCCACTCCCTCGCTCCGGCCCCGGGGCACCCGCCCGCGGGGGAAGAGCGCGCAGGGACCTCCGCTGCCCGCGCCTAGTGAGGGGCCGTGGGGTGCAGGCGTGCAGATGTGCAGAGCGGTGTTGTTATTCGCAGAGTTTCTCCGTGCGTGGCTCTGCCGGATTGTGTAACTTTCAGGACAGCGTGTCCAGAAACTTCACTTTGCAGAGTTGGCTCGGGGAAGCCCGGGCTGTGGGCACCGTGTGCCACCCTCGTGGAGAACGGGCAGACGCCCAGCTCCTCTGCCCTCTCTCCGGCCTGCCTTCCCCTCTCTGCCTTGGACTGAGCTTGTTGGGGAAAAACATCCCACACTCGACCCCCCTCCCCGCCCCGCCTTTTCTTTTCTGGTGAATCGACTATGGCTTATGAGTCAGCCCTCAAAGGCGGGCGTTCGCCAATTCTGTTTAAGGCACAGGCAGTTGAGCTTTAGGGCTGGTGGAGAGTTTTGGAATGCAGCGTATCTGGCTATGCTCAAATACCTTAGATTTTTAAATAATGGTTTTAAAAATGCAAAAACGGAAACAATGTGAACCTTACTGATGAAATGTTTCCATCTTAAACGTTCAGTAGTTTTCTAAGTGCACAAGAAAAGTTAACACAAGAATAATTCTTCCTTCGTTTCTTGCCCCCCCCCCAAGAAAAAGAAAACAATAGTTAAGAAATTACAGCTTTATTGTCGCTATATAGATACCAGTCTAATGGAGGGAAAGATTTGCTCCCTAGTGTAAGAAATGGATACGTTCCTGAGGTCAGTGAGAATTGGGCAGGTTTGGAAGCCTGTGGATGGAAGAACGGGACACCTGCGGGGCCAGCCTTCGGTGCGCGCCAGGGCTGAGCAGTAACTAGTCATTTACAATCCTTGCGCTGGTTCCTTACTGCTGCTGCTTGCCGACACATGCATTTCCAGGAGTTCCGAAGGGCGGGCAGTGTGATGGGAAAAATTGAACGGTGCTGTTAGTCCCATACCTGGAAATTTCATGGCCTCATCATGAGTGGACTGTTGTTAACGGCCAGGTTGTAGAATTCAGTTTAAAAATGTTAAGTCAGGCAAGGCAGTTTTCTTGAAGCTGGAACATTTTACTTTTTGTTTCAGTGCTTCTGAAACTTGATCAGGTTCTAAATTTTTCTAAGTGAGGATATTAGCAAAGGATACAAAATAAGGCCTATTTTAGAAAGATTTAGAAGTACAGGTGGCTACAAAGTCGCTACATAGGAATGAGAAATAAAGAAAAAAAGCCACACTTGCGGAGATCGCATTTTCCGGGGAGCAGGGACGAGGCCTGCCTGCAGAAACGGCCCGCCCAACAGCAACAGTGCGTGCTTAGACTGTTTTCTTGGGTTCCTTTGAATTGTAGACTCTTGCATCATTTTAGAGCTGGGAGGGCTCTAGAAGTCTTCTATATCTTGTGCAAAACACAGATTCGCAGTCACTGAAGTCACTGTAGAAGGAAACCCTGCCGGAATCGTCACTGAAGCCCAGGACAGCCTGGCTGGGAGAGCCCCCTGGGGCACAGAGCCGAGTGGCCTCGAGGTTGCTGAGCAAAGCTCGGGAGCAGCACGTGCCGTGGGGAGGGTTGTCTTATGTTTTTTAATTTCAGGAGAAGTGAGATACAAAATAGACATACTCAAGGAAATTATAGAAACGACTGCTTTTTATGATTTATTTATCTTTGGGGGTGATTTAGAAAATAACGAGGTTTCATTTAGAATGGTTAATATTATTTACAAAAAACCCTAATGAAGTGAAAAGACCCAATATGACTCACTTTGTGATTAATTCTGTTGGGCGGGTGTGAGTTGCGGCCTCCTGAGAGAGGTCTGGGACCAGCCCCTGGGGACTCGTGGACAGAGGCTTCGGAGCAACAGGTTGGTTCTGGTTCCCAGGCTTAACCTCTAACTAGCAGCCTCCTTGGGCAAGTTGCTTTTTAGCACTTAGTTCCCTAAAATGTAAAGGGAGAACAACCGTGCTAGCCTGACTGGATTGCTAAAGGACTCTAAAGTAATAGATGAGAAATGCAAGGGTTGTTGGCATTACCAATAGTAATATTGCAGAATAAGTCATTTTACTTAGGTTGCTTCCAGGCTGCTTTAGTAGGCGGCCAGCAGCATCGAGTGTAAATGTGAGCACGCTAGTATCTTTTGTAATACTTTTGTTGAGACCAGATTGCACATGTCCCTTTGCTTGGCACACTGTAGGTGTGAATTGAAAAACTTAGACATCTTCCTGTATGTTGCAGAAAAGTGGCCTTGTCATGTAATTTTTAAGTGTAGTTTTCATGAAGTCATATTTGGAACCAGATAAGAGCTCTGGGGTTTGTTCCTGTCTAACTCTTCCTTGGGGGAAAAAAAAAAATGGCAGGGGTGAGGGTCCAGCCTGATTGCTGACTGCTGAACTCACCTCGAACTGCTGATTTTAACACATTGTTAATGACTTGAAGCAGACCCGTGCAATTGTCCAAGTAACACAGAATTTGAGTTATTTGGCAGGCGTTTTGCTGAGTAAGCAGCAGTGACTGAAAGGTCACGAGATCTGAGACACAGTGATTCATTTTTGCAGTGGACCCGTGGATCCTCCAGTTTGCCATCGCCAGGATTTGCTTGTATTTATTTGACTAACTCAGTTCCCTGTGACTAAGCTGTAATCTCATTGGTCCTTACAAGCCTGCTAAGGAAAGCACTTGGGAAAATCTGCCATGTTTTCTTGAACAAACTGTTTGGCTCCTTTCTTAAATCTGATTAATGGGCACAGGAGCTGCTTTGCAAGCTTTAACAAAAATATTCAGATATTAAGGGCTGGGCTGGAGGAGCCCAAGATCTCATTCTTGGTCCTGTTACTTTACATCAATTACTGATTGATTGATTGATTGATTTGGTCCCAGTCTGTTTCGCTGTGCTTTGGTAAAATTTCCCTCTGTTTGCAGTAATAGGCAGACTTGATCAAATGACAGTTAACCTCAAAATAATGAATAATATATTTACTGAGTGATTTTTTTTAAGTGAATGAATACAACAATTGCAAATTGCCTAAATCTGCATATAAAGAAAGTGTTAAATGCATTATGTACAATGGAATAACTATGAGCTCAAAATGATCATACAGGATAGACATTTGGAAAAGCCATTAAAGAGAAAGTAAAACCTTAAGGGTATTAAGAAAGATGGGTGGGACTTTGATTGTTGGATATGACAAGAGCTGTCTAGCGGGGATAAATTTAAAAAACCGAAATGGTGGTGACCACGAATTTTGGGGATATTGCATACTTTCTGTGGGAGGGAGCGAGGTTTGTGCCGGGAGAGGGCAGGGGGCCTGGGGGTGGTTCTGCGGCGAGGCTGAGGCAGTGGAGTCGGTGCGGTTGGCCGCTGTGCGGCTTCGGCAGAGGGCGGGCCGGAGGGCAGGGTGTAGGGGAGCACTGAATGTCAGTGAGTTAGTTATTTGATTTTGTTGAGCGCTCTGAATAATCTTAACTCCGAATTGCAAGAAATTTAAAAATATTAAACGTGAGGAATATAAATGATAGGGCTACAGCTTTGCAACAACTTGTAAATCATAGGCCAGCATGTTGGAGCAAGTTACTTAATAATGGAATTGCTAATATATTCTCCTTTATAATGCCAGATGCTTTTCAATTGCAGATTTAGTACCTCAAAACAGACTCTTATGTGGATTCCAGATTCTTTTTTTTCCAGGTATTTCATGTAATTTTTTAGTACCGTTTTTAATATACTTAGTATTTATCAAATTAGTAAAATTTCCCTTGCCTGTTAAATTAATGTTTTTATTTATTGAATGAATAAAATATCTTAACTTTTAAAATAGGAATTTTTTGTTTTGTACAGAATAAAGTTCCCTTGTTCACAGCAAAATAAAATAATGATAATTTGTTTTGTTTTTATTTTACTTTGGAGATAAGATGGCTCATTTGTATTCCTCATTGACTTTTGATAAGGCATTAGGACAGTTATTTATACTCAGATTTTAAAAACTAACTAGATTATTGTTAATAATTTCCAGTTTGCTGAGTGGAAGAATTTCAACACTTCGAGATGAAACCGGTGCTGTAAGTATAATAAGCTGCATCTATACCCAGATTAGATTAATGCTTATACTGCTTGATTCTTATTATACAGTGACTCTTAGGAGATAAGAAAGCTAATATTTTAATAACACATATATACTTAAAGTTTATTTTTTGTCAAATGTAGAGTGTTTCTATATATATAGAAGATATCGATAAAGAAATCAAAGAATTGACTTACTAGATACCATTTCCTCCATATTAAAATACCAATCGAAGAGCTTTTCTGGGGGGGTGGGGGGGGGACACGACCACATTAAACGCACAGTTTTATCTGCGGTCCAGGGAATGGCCGCATTTCAATAGTTCAGTCTTCGTTCCCTAAGTTAGCGTTGCAGATGTTGAAGTTAAAAGTTACAGGTATACCTGGAAAATAAAACAACCTCTCATTTACAGATATTTATTGATAGAGATCCTGCAGCATTTGCACCTATTTTAAATTTTCTTCGGACAAAAGAGCTAGACCTACGGTAAGAAATACATGCTTTTAAGTAAATTCTGGGTGACGGGGTTTTGTTTTGTTTTGTTTTTTGTTTTGTGGTGTATTTTACGAGGGAAGGACTTTTTCTGCAGCAAGTTTCCTCAGCATTAAACTCGCAGGTTGGGGCCCCCTCCCTGCTGCCCGCCACGTGCTCCGGCAGCTCCTGACCACGTCTCCCCACCGTGTTCTGCGTCCCTGCAACGTAGTAGCTTCCAGACTCTGCCAACTCTGTCCATCTGATCTGGTGACCACTCCTTAAAACGTCTGTTTAATGCATCAGTGGGTCAATGGCTTGGGAGTTTGGTGTGCTGACCCCGCTTTTCCGGCTCTCGGCCTCCTGACCCCTGCCCATCTGACCCCTGCGGAGGCTCTCCTGCCCCCAGGCCCCGCGCCCTCGCTGCCCTTGGCCGCCTCCTGACCTCCCCTGGGGTCCCCGGGCGTCCACTCCTGCAGGTGCGCCTCCTCTCTTGTGCTGCCACCTCTGCTGTCTCGGTGACATCCCTTTCCTGGGGTGCGCTGTTTACTGTGCGCCCTCAGGAGCCAGCGCTGTGCCTGCCGCACGTCAGAGGCTCAGTGCGTGGTCGCAGCCGGGAGGGGGCGGGGTGGGGGCACAGGGATAAATGAGTGGTCACTTAAACTGTGTCTAACTTTGAGGTGGTCTGAATTCTTACCAGGAAGCTACAGCCCAATTTAAATATTATTGTTCTTTTATTTCACATATTCCTAGTGAACTTTAGGTGAGCATTAATATTTTATAGATACAGCTTTTAAAATTCCAATTGTTGACTTCAGCTGCTGCTTTATAATACGATAAAAAGTTAAAATCCATTAATGTCATACAAGTGGTTTCCACTTGTTGTTTGCCTTATGAGGTGCTTCTTGATAATTTACTTTCCTCAGTCGCCCACTTCATCCATACATGAATGGTTTTAAAGGTAAGAATGTTTTTGCTGGTGTGCACTTTAATTTAGACTTTTTTTCCCATGAGGACAGATGTTAGGGGAAAGGGAGGTTTGAAGCCTTGTGATTCTGGTCACACTGAGCGCCCGTTGCTTTTCGCTTTTGCTGCAGGTGCTAACACGAGCTGCCACTGTCAGAAGACTTACATCCTTTGTTTCTTTGCAGGGGAGTGAGCATCAATGTTCTCAGGCATGAAGCTGAGTTTTACGGAATCACTCCACTAGGTGCGTGTCCAGTACCGTCCTTCGGACTTGACCCTTTGTGCCCTGCAGTGCCCAAATGTTTTATGCCAGGTCCTGATTTTTTGATAGACTAGAGCAGCGTTAAGTTTTTGTGGATTTCCGATGCACAAGAAATGTCGGTGGCCGATGTAACGTAAACCTCTTCCTCTCTGTCCCTCTCCGCCTGTAGGGGAGAAACAGGAAAGGGGCGTTGCTCAAGTGTTAGCCACTGACCGTGTGCTTTGCCTTCGCAGTGCGCCGGCTCCTGCTGTGCGAGGAACTGGAGCGCTCTTCCTGCGGCAGCGTGCTCTTCCATGGCTACCTGCCGCCGCCAGGTACGGCCTGGACCCCTCTGAACACGCTTCTTAGCAAACGCGTGTAGGGTCGGGGAGGAGGAAGGTCCGGTCTCTGGTTCTTGCCTTTCTCATTTATCAGCCGGCTAGAAGTGGTGAGGACTTGAATTGTAGTAGCAGTTCAGCCATCGCAGGAGTCGGCGCAGGGACGTTGGACGGGCCTAGCGCTCCCGTGTGGGCCCAGAGGCTGGGAGCTGGGCGAACTTGGGCCACTGCTGAGCCCTGCCGCCGCAGGCGCGCAGAGACGAGTGCGTGTGACTGTTCATCGCAGCGCTACTCATGCCAGCAGGCCCAGGGCCGGCCTGGCCCGGCCCCGCGTTAGGGCACCGGTGGTCGGCCAGTCTCCTCCTGGTGAGCCCGGCGCTCTGCAGCCACCTCGGCCTGCAGGGCAGCGGCAGGTGAGGCACCTGTCCTCTCCGCCCACTGCCGTTAGAAGCCTCTGCCTTCTCTGTTCCGGTGGCCTTCGGAGCAAGGTGTCGCTCCAGCAAAGACCCCCGCCAGATGAGAGACGTTTCAAAGTACAGGGCCAGCTCAGAAGCAGATTAAACGGGTACCTGTTCCTCACACCTAATAACCGTGCAGCACAGAGACCTGCGGCAGACCCAGCGCAGCAGTGACTGACCTCTGTGACCCAGAGCGGGGCAGAAGCTGAGCGCGTCATGACAAAGCTTAACCTGGTTTACATATAGCACGATAAATCACAAATCCAAGTTTCATTTTTCATTTTATTTTTTATGATAATTATTTGTAATCCATTGCGCTACTGGGGGGTATATGTTGACTATAATGAAATGCACATATGTGTGTTTCTTTGTTACATGAAATTTTACATTGTTTTAGGTGAACTTAGAAATAAACTTGTCTTGTTTCCTGTTACAGGTATTCCCAGTCGTAAAATAAACAACACAGCCAGGCCCGCTGCGGACCCAAGGAACGGCCCGAACCCCGCAGAAGGAGAGGCTCGGGCGGGCGGTGCCCTGCCGGCCCGCTCTGGGTCCGCGGAAGAGACAGTCAGGCTAGGTGAGCGCAGAGTACTTGAGTGGAAAAAGGAAAATCCGTATTTTTAGTTCTGGCTGATACTCAGTCTTCATAAAGATGTAACGTTTGCCTCGTCTTGCTTTTTAATCCAGATTTATCGTTTATATCCCAGGTAATTTTTATTTTCAAAAGTACGTAATGCTCTGCTTGCTCTAAACCTGTAGCGCAGGGCCGACCAGCTCTCTGTGCGCGAGGCCCAGCTAGCAAATGCCCAGGCTCTCAGGGCCGCTGCTTGGCCCCAGCGGCGGGAGGCAGCCTTGAGCGACACGTGAACCCGTGTGCGTGGCTGTGCCCCCGCAAAGCTGTGCTGACCAGGGAGAGGCCTGCGACTGGCCCGTGCCCGAGAGGTCAGACAGTTCTCTCTCTGAACCGACAGGGTTTCCGGTGGACCCGCGCAAGGTGCTGATAGTGGCTGGCCACCACAACTGGATCGTCGCCGCCTACGCCCATTTTGCCGTGTGCTACAGGTGCTGCGCAGTTCCTAGTGGCTTAGTTTGCTTTTTCCTTGGGCGGGGGGGTAGTTCTTAATAATTGTAATTTCATATTCATAGATTGAAGAGCTGTGTCTTTCAGTTACCAAATTTTTTCCCTGCATATTCTATCTACCTCTGTATACCTTGGTTAGATTTAGTTTGCTTTTATTATCACAGCTGACTTGGTAAATACTGCTGGTGGCCATGATGTGTCTTAAATATTTCCCAGACAATATGAACTGTGATATAATTGAGATACTTTAAAGGTATTCCCTCTTGCTTATATATGCAGCTTCTAAATCATTTCAGGGTTGTTGTAAATGACTAGGTGGGGTTATTGCTTGAGCCTCGTGTTCTGTTTATTCCTTTCAGGTAAAGCAAAGAGAAGCTGTATAACTCTGTTTTACCTGTTTGGTGTAACGTTAAAAATAGGTATTTCAGAGTTAAAGTCGAGGCCATTCACGGTCCTGACTGTACAGTGGGGCCGCTACTGAACGTATCGCAGCTCTGTGCCACCACACAGAATGCACGTCTGAGAGACGTGGGCTAGGGAAGAAAAAGTATTAGAAAGTGGCAGGTATGTTTACTGGAAATTAAATATTACAGAATGTATTAAATACAGATTCAGTCAACTGCAAATCCGAACCCTGGTAACTGTTACATATGGGGAATTAATAGGCCTGGAAGGCTTTTCATTTAGAAGGAAACCTTTAAAACCCAGCCCTCGGACGGGGGTTCCCAGGCGCCACGTTCTGTTCATTTGATTGTGCCATGATATTGGAATGCATGTGTTAATAGCACTTCACTCCCTTCTCTTAGTTTGCCTGGAGAGTCTAGTGTCTCAAGTGCAAAAAAACTACAGAATGCATGTAGTTTCAGTTAGTATTAATGGAATAACTAACAACTGAAAGTGATTATATCCTACAATTCTGATTTTTTGTTGTTGTTGTTCTTGACTATTCCTACCCTTAAATAATGACAATAGCACTTTTTCATGGAGAAAAGTGAAAGGTTCAACTTTTTTTTTTAAGTTGTTAGTGTTTATTTTAAATTTGGAGGGCTTTTCTAAATTATTTGCAGAAATAGTGGTAATCTCTTTTTAAGTGGTTTAGATTTTGTATGTATGCAAATATAAGATATTTCAGAAGTAATACTCTGGACTTGTAGACGAAATATGTTGACAGAACTTTACGTTTAACATAAAGGTCGGCAGTCGCGATTAACACGCGGGCTGGCGCACTCGCTGTGCCGTGGGCGTGGCCGCCGCTGAGCCTGCCTCTGTGTCCCTGGGCCTCACAGGATCAAGGAGTCCTCGGGGTGGCAGCAGGTGTTCACAAGCCCGTATCTGGACTGGACTGTGGAACGAGTGGCCCTGAACGCGAAGGTGGTCGGCGGTCCCCACGGAGACAAAGACAAGATGGTCGCTGTGGCCTCCGAGAGCAGCATCATCTTGTGGAGCGTTCAGGATGGAGGAAGCGGCAGTGAAATTGGTAGGAAGGGTTCTGTGTGTGCTGCGTTTTGCTGGGATACACGTACAATACTCTGCAGCTTAGCAGGGATTGCCCGCAAATATCAAACCAAACCTGAACGCCTGGTTAGCTAGCGCTGCCCCATGTCTGCTCAGGAGCCAGTGGTAGTGGGACTCCTCGCTGTGAGAGAGATGGTCTGGTAAAGAGGGAAAAAAGGATGTTTAGGAGGAAGGGGAGTCTCTCCACCACTTTACGCCGATGGACGCCTGGCAGAGAGGACTTGAACCATGAGTGCAATGCGGTGGCGCTGCTCGGCTGTGCACCAGGTGCTGGCTCTCTTACCCAGCATGCTCTGCGCCAGCCTGCACAGGTCAGCAGGTGCCCTTCGACAAAGCACGCAGTTTCTGAGGTTTCCCGCACTTTGAGTATTTCAACACCACGTGTGTTTGTGGGCAAACATTCACATAAAAGACCTTCAGTGATCTGCTCAGTTGGTGCCGATACCGGATGAATAGAAGCAAAACACCAGTTCCACCCACATCTGTATGTCCATCATCTGTCCGTAAGAAAGAAACAGTTCTGCAGACGGGACACTCTCTCTGCCAGATCTTTAATTCAGAGGCTGACTGTGTCGCTCGAGAGTAGCAGCTCTGCGACTTCTACTGCCATTTCATGCCGCAGACCCTCTGTCCAGCCCGCATTCCTTTCCCAGCACTGTGTGCGCGCCTCCGTCCGGTGCGACGCCACAGCCTGACCTGCGAGGTGCTGCAGGGCTGTTTCACCTCTGGTGTAAAAAGTCTGTAGCGAGCAATTTCTGGCTCATGAAGGGTTTTCACACATTTGTTTGGAATAGTTCTTCCTGTTAAGCTTGGGATGAACATTTGTTCCCAGTGAACCCATGGCTGGCATCATAAGACTATTCCAAAGTTTTGTTGCATAAGACACAACAGGGCAAGTTACTAACGTCTGTGAAGTCGAAAGACAGTTTTTATGTTAAATGTGTTACGGTGTTTTACAGTGTTGCCCAGCTGCCCTAGAGTCCTCCAGCCCTGCCCCCTCCTGCGGGTCAGAGGCTGAGGGGTCAGGTCTGCCCCGCCACTCGGCCCGGGTGGCCTGGCTGTGGGCGGAGCAGGGGGCTGTTTGGATTTCCCCTTGGGAAGCCAGTGGCTGTTACTGAGTGTAAGGAAAATAGAGTCAAGACATTTGTTTTAGAACAAGACATTTTAAACAGATTTAGATAAAATTTTAATATTTGAAAGCTTTTCAGAACATGTTAAAACATTGTAAAACACAGCAAAGTATAGTTGTTTCTTGTGTTTCTTTGTAGGTGCAAGGAAAGTTTGGATTTCAAAACAATAGTTTATTCGACAGTAACGAGGTTACAGAGGTTATAACCGGTATAGCTGAAGCTAGCCAGTAAGAGAGTAGTGGACATACATAAAATAAACTGTTAATCTTGGGAAACTTTAGAATTAGTTATACCCTAAACCTACCACCATAGACAATTCTAGAAACGGAAAGACCTCATCCCATGTCATGTAGCCTCTGGGAAACTCCTCTGTACAACCCTAAGGTGATGAAAGTAAAAAAGGCAAATCATGCTTTAATCTTTTCATGAAAACGGCCATGACTTCTGGAAAGGGTCTTCCAGGCCTCCAAGGACTCCCAGGCTCTACTTTGAGAAGCATTGTTCTAGACCATTCCCTTCCCTTCCTTCTCCCCATCTCCAAATTTCGGATCTTGTGCTGCCTGGGTGTATGCCAGCGGCGTCTTCCGCTGCCCTCCGGGACACTGTCTGTCCTTTGTCCCTTGGACGTGCCTAGCTCACGCTCCCAGCTCAGTTCCTTGACTCCATGGGATCTTCCTGGCCACGTCCCTTCCCGCCAGGCTCAGGACCCGTCGTCACGATCACCCTGGCACGAGCGCCTCGGCTTTCCTGCGTTTCCCTCGGAGAGAGACCCCAACCGTTGCCGTACCTGTCTTCCCACCTGCAGGGCCAAGTACGGCCAAAGACCAGACTGGGCGTTCTTGGCTCTTGCTGGTCATGTGGATCGTGCGCTCTTTACAGCCGCCCTTACCTACACCTCCTCTCCCCTTCTGTCGGATTCCCTGGGCTTGCCTGTTCCCGGTGCCCCAGGGGGATGGATGAACTGTTCATCTCTTAAGCCCAACTCATGTGGCCGCATTTCTAAGAAACATTCTCAAACCCCTCGCACACCCACTTTACTTCTCTGGATATTATACACCCTGTGCGTCCTTCTGTTATTGTTACATTAGGTTATACTTGGTTGGTTGAGTATTTTTCTCTATTAAACTGTAAGCTCCTAGTAATGTTGTGACTTCTCATGTTTTTACTCCATTGCCTAAGAGAGTGCTTTTTGAATAGATCGAACTGAGATCTACAAGGCTGAGAAAAAAGGGGTTTAAAATAAACTCTGAAGGCCTGGGGTTAAAATGAGGTTTTATAAATTTCTAAAATTGCAGAAATTTATGTTAAATTTCTACAGTTAGGCTAGGTTAAAAGTAGTCACCTTGAAAATGTTTTAAATCTGGGTTTTGGTTAATTGTGAAGACGGCGACTAACCAACCTCTATATTTCCTCTTGTCACGTAAGGGGTGTTCAGCCTTGGCGTTCCTGTGGACGCCCTCTTCTTCATCGGGAACCAGCTGGTGGCCACGAGCCATACAGGCAAAGTGGGGGTGTGGAATGCTGTCACCCAGCACTGGCAGGTGAGTGCTGCCTGGAGCAGAAGACAAACAGCGACTTTTCTGCTTACGCATCTGCCCGTTACTGCGGAATTCATGCCGCCTCTGTCTGGTAACACAGAAAAGTGAACATATTTAGGGGAAATGTGCTTCCACATACAGATGTTTTCAATAATTTTCAATAATTTTGACTGTGTTTTCAATAAGTTTACGTTGCTCAGGACAATGAGATTTTCACCTGTGGTGTGAGATGTCTTCCTTTCCCGCGGCGGGCACAGCCCGTGCGGACGGCACAGCGAGCAGGGTGCTGCTGAGCTCTTGAGGGACATGGGAGGGGTGCAGGCCTAAGAGATGAGCGCCTGATTCGGGAGGGGGGAGGGGCATGTCAAGCACGTGAGGCAGCTACGTGGTCAGATCCATTCGGAAGAACAAGAACGGCGGTGACTAACAGGCGCGGTCGCCCTGGGGAGGGACCCAGCCAGAGCAGCGGACATTCAGCTGAAGGCGCAGCCGTGGGGCGGCAGAGCTGGACTGCCCAGAACCAGCTCATAAGCCTTTCTAATGACAGGGTTGGTGTCTGATTCGATGTGGGGAGCTTTGGATTTCTTGTTTTGATAATCGAATGGCTAGTAATTTTGAGTTGACAGGGAACAGAGGAAGAGAAGCAGATGCTGGTGGATGGTGTGGGGAATAATTAGATTGATTAATTGCGTGTACTTTGAGATTCTTATGGGCTCCGAGTGCAGGTGTTCAGTATATAGTTGGGGAGTATACCTTTGGAAAGAGCTAGAAAAAAAGTATTTGGACACCACAGCAGTTCTGTGATAATTAAAAAATAAGAAGTGATGAGATTTTCCATTGAGAGGGTGCACATTGAGAAAGGAAAGCTGAGATTAAAACTCTGGGGGACATCAGCATTTAAGGGGGCAAGAGAGAAACCAAGCTCCCCAGGGCACATGTGTAGGGTGTCGTGTGGGCGCTGATGAAACAAAACTTGACCTGGGGTTAGAGACTCTGCGGAGAGACTTCCAGCAGAATGTGTAACCGTGCACAACACCAGAGGGCGTGTGCCGAAATCGGCGGCAGGCACACCGACAGCTTACGGGAGCCATTCTTTCCGAGTTTTAGCGCTTTCTACCGTTTTTCTTTTAATGGGAACGGACGTGGGTTCTGTGCTTACACTTGCTGCTCTGTTGGACATATCCTCTCCCCTTCCTCTCGTAACTCCGTCCCTTTTCCGGTTTTCAGGCTTCACTTCTTTCTGAACTTCGCCTTGATCTGTGCCCTTCTCCCCGCACTGGGGCTGACGTGGGAATCCTCCCCCGCTCTGTGGCGTCACACCCCGATTTTACAGCCTGTCGCGCTGTGTTTGTCTTTATTTTTCTCTCTTGCCCACAAGTTTACAAGCTTCTACATGCCTCACATCAGTCCGAGGCTGGTTCTCCTGGGTAGTGACTGGTACACGCAGAGCCTTTCATGTGAATGTCACCTGTGAGTTTCCCACGGGTCGCTGGCCTGCCCTGCGTGGGAAGATGTTTTTTGATCTTATTGCCACTACTCCCACAAGCAGTGTTTGTCTTTGTTTTGTATAAAATCCTGCCCTTTGCTCTTCTTTTTTTTTTAGCACAGATACAGGCAGCTATTAATTTGTAACTAGATTGATTTGCTTGGAAACAATTTTTTATTCTAGTGCTTGAAGAAACAAAAGCATGCGAGAACTTACTTGCCTTATTTACCATTTCCTAGGAAACAGGCAAAGTCTGCAGTGGAGAGAGGGAAAGTAGAGAAACTATCTCTTCAAAGAAATGATAATAAATTACCGAGGGAATAAGATCTGTCTGGAAATCAGTTGATTTGTGTTCTTGTTCTAGTTCTGCCCCTTCCTAGGTGATTTTTAAGCAGGTCACTTAATCTCTTACGCAACCTGGTCAGACGTGACCTTCCGGTCCTGGTTTGCATTATGGTCTCAGGATCATGTGCAGAAAGAGAGACGACCTTCTAAATTCTGACAGGAAAGTACTGCTGTTGGAAATAGATATTTTTAACATTAGTACAGGGAATCATATTGATGATTCTTCCAAATTCCCGGTGTCGGGGGTGGTGTGTGCATGTGTGTATATATAAAATGTCCATTTTCTAAGCCCTACCTACAGTGGATATCAGGGTCCTTTTTATTAAAAGAATTTTGAGGAAATGGAGCCGAAAATATAAATTGTAATTACCATTGACGTCTAATAACAATGTCACTACCTCAGGTTCAGGATGTCGTCCCTATAACCAGTTATGACACCGCTGGGTCCTTCCTGCTGCTCGGGTGCAACAACGGGTCCATCTATTACATCGGTGAGTGTGCGGACGCCTGACACGCTCCTGCGTGACGCGATGTGTGAAAGGGACAGCAAGGCAACGTTACCTTTCTTAGTTTTAAAGAAACGCACTGTTTTAATGTTACTTACACCTTTTTATCTTTCAGATATGCAGAAGTTCCCTCTGCGAATGAAGGATAACGATCTTCTTGTAACGGAACTTTATCACGACCCTTCTAATGACGCCATCACAGCGCTGAGTGTTTACCTCACACCCAAAACAAGTGAGTGCCCGGCAAAATTAGCCCCATGGCTGACGTGATGTGAGGGTGGGCGTTTATTTCGCTGAAACGAATGTGGCTGCTGCTTTCTGAGAATTATGGTGCTAAGGGGTCTGCCCCTATTTGTTTGCATTTGCTTTCATATCGATGTCAGACATGACCGGCGCACAGGCGTACCTGGAGGCGGGACTCTGGAACCTCTGAGCTGTTTGCTGAGCCGTGTCCCTCCACGGTCCCCCGACCTCATGAAAAACGAGGCGCACGTTCACTTTCCTGTTGCAGTGGCTGCCTCTGTTTTGAAATGAGGAGTCTTCATTTTTTTAACTTAAAAAAAGGGGGGCCTTGGACTGTTAATCTTTATTGGACAGTGGTGAACTTACTTTCTTAGAAAATCTTCAGGTTGTGGAGAAACTCATTTTATTTGGAAGTTCCATATGTATAACTTTCATTGCCTTTCAGAGGCCGTTGCGATGAAACTTACAAACAAGTTCTGTATTATAAACAATTTTTATATTCTAGGGTGAAACATAAATTTTAAATTTCTCATTTGTATTTATCAGTAATGAAAGGGATTTTAGGAAATGTCGGGTACAGTAACACCAACAGATCTGGACGTTACTGGTATGAAGTCACTTTGTTGAATTCGCTGAAGGGAACCATTGTCTTTGGCATGAACACAGTGTTCTGGTGTACGCGGACGGCTTTGACCGGGGTGACGGCAGGGTCCTGAGGGGGCTGTGCCAGAACAGGGGTCAGCAAGCCAGGCCCCGATCAACAGCTGTCCTGCTGCTCTTGGCTGCTTTCGAGCAGCAGCGAGTCACGCGCCTGTAGCAGAAACTGGGTGACAAGCAGAGTCTCGGCTCTTTGCTGGGGAGCCTTTTACAGAACGTCTGCTGCCTGTGCTCTAGAGCGAGCTGTGCCGCTTCTCCTCCTCCAGTCTAAGTGAGAGGAGGGGGCGAACCTTCCTGGCAGTGACAGCGGACAGTGGGCCCCCCTGTAGGTCATGAGCTGTGCTTTCCGGGCGTGCGCTTTCTCCTTTGAGTCAGGTGTTTGGCGGTGTATCAGAAGAGCTGCTAAGGCTACGCCGTTCTCTGTCCGGGAAGCTTTTTAGGAGCGCAGGCCCCCAGCTCCACCCTGCCTTAGAGTCCGCGGTGGAGTCTGGGCGCTTGTTGAAACAGCACAGCCGCGGGGGGACCTGACGGGGTGAGCAGGGCCCAGTGGGACAGGGCAGCTTGTACCCGCGGTGTAAGCCACGTTGTTGCGGGGGTTCCAGGGATAAGTGTTTTGAGGCTGCTCAGGGGTATATATGTCACTTGACTGCTCAAGGAAGATGCCGTGTTGTAGCAGAAGGAAAAGCGGTGGCCTTTCTAGGCTGGGAGCAGAGCGCGCGGCTTTGGGGAGGCCACCTGCGCGGTGCCGGGGTCCTAGCGCTTAGCAACCGGCCTACGAATTCCTTAAGCCCCGACCGAGCACCCGCTGCGTCTCGGCCACCCTGCAGGGCGGCGTGGACGCAGGAAGGCCAGGACTCTGTCCTCACGCGCGGGGCGGGGGCCGGGCAGGGGGTCCCTGCCAGCGAGGCGAAGCTGCCCCGGGCGAGCCTGACTCGGGCCTCGGCTCCGCGGCCGCCAGCTCGGGGCTTCTGTGCCCGGCTGCCTGCGGCTGACGGCGCGCTGCTCCGTCTTCTGAGCGTCCCTCCGCCCTTGGCCGCAGGTGTCAGCGGGAACTGGATCGAGATCGCCTACGGCACGAGCTCCGGGGCCGTGCGGGTGATCGTGCAGCACCCCGAGACGGCGGGGTCGGGCCCCCAGCTCTTCCAGACCTTCACCGTCCACCGCAGCCCCGTCACCAAAATCATGCTCTCCGAGCGGCACCTCGTGTCAGGTGAGAGGGCGCGGTCCGGCCGCCGGGCGGGGTCGCACCGTGGCGCGTGGGAAGGGCGCGCGGACAGGGCTCGGGATGCCGTTGGGGCCTGAAGACGTGTTAGGACGGCCTTTTACGGACCTCTTCGATGTTTGCCTGCTGTTAGTATGCGTAGCTCCAGGAGCTATCAGTTTTAAAGTTACTCTCTGTGCTGGTATTTTGTTCTCACGGCATACTTTACTTCAAAGTCTTTAGCATAATTCTGTTGAAAGGATTTTTATTAGAAATTTCCCCAATTTAATATAAATTTGGTTGTATCGTCTTAAAGCTTAGGGCTAAAGTTGTACATTTAGATATAATTTTGTTTGATCTTCAAAAAAGGTTAAAAGCAGATCGAGTTTATAGAGATTTGACAAGAATACATTTTTATGAGTTTTTTTTGTTCTTTATGTAAAAATTTTTAAGTTGACACTACTAATTACTTTGAGCTCCAAAATCTGTATCTAATTTTTAATGAGACGTGAAGCGAGGCGGCCACATAGTAAAATTCCGTTGGTGAGCTTCCTTGATTGATGGGTGGTTTCCAAAAGGCTTTGTGTGAAAATGGAATTGTGAGTCAGGTCAGCAGAGCTTGGGTTTATATTTGTCTTTTGTAGATGGGTTCCTGCATAACTGGATTTTTTAATAAACATTGTTTTCATGCACCAAGCGTGCTTACGTGAAGACTGCATAACGCACAAAGGTGAGGCCTCCTTCCCGGTCTTCAGTTCGATGAATGCCGGGCGGAGCTGAAACACCCCGTCGGTGGACGAGTGCGCTTTTATGGGGTGCCTGGTGGTGTGGGGTGTAAGGACGCCCTCCCAGACGGCCCCTTCTGCAGGCTTCTGTGGACAGTGCTCGCCGCTGCCTCTCTGAGGAGGTGGTCACGCTCCGTCGCTGGTCCCTCCCCTTCACCCTCCTACGAAGTACAGGACTCCTCCCGCCCTTTCCTGGACTCTGCTCCTTTTCTCTGTACTGTCCCGGGCGACTTGAGTGTTAGTCTCTCTCCGCCGCCACCTGTGACCATCCGCAGAGTTCCAGACTTGTGTATTTGGTGCCTGTCACTGCGTGAAAGGTTACTTTTGAGTTCTTTCTCAAAAGCCTTCTGTGTACACGAGATTGCTGTCTATACACCTCCTCTCACTGAAAATCCAGGAATCTGACTTGTAAGGCCTGTGAGCTTTGCGTCAGGACTTACAGGTGCCGCGAATCTGACTCCTTCCCTTCGCAGCCATTGCGGCCGACAGGGTAGCTCTAAGCATCGTTTCCGCCCCCAATTACTGAGCTTCCAGTTCTTTCTCTGTCTCTCTCTCGTCTGTGACACCGCGATGGAGCCAGAGACATCTTTGAAAGATGCAGACCAGACCGGATTCCCGGGGGCTTCCTACTGTGTGTAGAACATCTGATTAAGCCACATGGCTCTTCCTGTCCTAGACCCTGGCTCTCCGGCGCGTCTCTCCCGGCCGCCCTGTCACTCTTCCGGCTGCCTGTGCCCCGGCCCCCTCAGGGGCCTCCTGGGCCCTCAGCCTCGGGGAGCCAGGCCCCTGTCCACAGCCACCTGCTCTGCCGGTGCCTCGGTCTGTGTTCTTCTCGGACTCATCACTCGATCGTTTATGTGTTGGTTCTCCCCCATCTCCCCCTTGCAGGAACTGACGTCAGTTCTATGGTAGCAGACCTGCTCTCAGCACCTAGCATCGTTCTTCACATGTAAGAGATGCTGAGTAAATGTGTAGAATCAGATCGTTTGATCTCGTGGAAAGTAGGCTGTCTTGCAGGGTGTTGTGATTTTACGTGACCGCGCTTGGAAACCTCAGTAGTGCTTGCTGAGTTTTCACGGTGACGGTGACGCTGTCAGTGCAGGATGTGCTGCAGAGCACTCCCCGGGCAGGCTCGCATTTTGATACGAGCCATCTCGTGAAAGTCTGAAATTTAAGTGAAGCTGTCACCGAGTCCAGCTAAGCCAAAACCCGGAGTACTGTCTGTCTGCAGTGCTCAGCTACGGTGTTCTGCCACCTGGTGGACGTCAGTGCACATGGAATGGCGATCTTTTTCCTGTAGTGTCAGTTTCCGTGTCTTAAGTAAAAACTTTAGGTGATGATTAATATTAACAAATCGCCATAATTGCTCATTTGAATCACAGAAAAATTTGCCATAGTTTTAAAATATTTACGTTATTTTTCTGAATCCTAGTAAGGTTCATAGTGAAACCAGGATATTATTTCCCATGAAGCTGAATAAACAGCCTAGAACATCTTCTCCCCCTCCCTGGCCCCACCAGAAAGCTGGCATTCTTAGAATTGAGAATTTTGTTACCTAAAACATTTGTCCATTTTTTCATTCTTATAGCAATTAGCCAAAATTAAATTTCTTTCTAAAGTTTTGTTTTAAAATGTTCAACCATGGCATTTTAACCAATAGTAAGTACTGTGTCTATACAACAACTTCTGGATGCTTTCTTGGTATATATTGATAAGTTCATAGCTCATTGCTAATAATACAAGTTTCCTGAAATCATAATAAATGTCAAATTAATAGACTTTTTTATTAAGGCATGCCACCAATGTACAGTTCTTGCCTTAGTGATATTTTTCGGTTTATATCTTTTAATGATGTATGTATTCAGGCTAAAAAAAGAAAAAGGTTACTTTTTAGCTACATCTCAGTATATGCCCATTTACGATTGTTTACATGAAAAAAACCAAGCTAACTTTGCAGCATGTTTTTAAATACAGACTTTGATATAAAAATAATTCTCAACTTTATATGGAGTCTTAATTTTCCTTGATGTAATTTTCCTTAATTTTCCTTGGGAGTGAGCAAAAAATAGCTGGTTCCTAATAGCTTTCTGACATATCATGTCATTTATAGCAATAAGTTGTCAGTGACTTCTGGTCAAGGTTGTTTAAGATTTGAGTTAACATAAGCATAAAGTTTCTGTGATTTAAAAAAATAATCCAGGCAACTGTTTACCATGTTGTTTAGCCACAGAACAGGTTAATCTGCAGCATATTCTGTCTTACAGATGCTTCTTTTTTTAACCTTTTCTACTCATGGGCTACTTTTATAAGGATCCATAGATTTATTTATATATACCTTATATATTTGCCACAAGGGAAACCATATTCTCTTTTTTTTGGCTTGGCATAAGTTAAATATAATTTGAGGATAAAGATGTCATTTGCCACTCAAAATGTGCTCTGCTCTATTTAATGTAGGTCACAGAGGAAAAAGGTAACATGCTTATGAGAGAGATTTGGTTGCTGCTGTTTTACTGCCCTTAGCAGCTCTTCCACGTTCTCTTCCCTCCAGTCTGTGCGGACAACAATCACGTCCGGACGTGGACGGTGACGCGGTTCAGAGGCATGATCTCCACCCAGCCCGGGTCCACTCCGCTCGCGTCGTTCAAGATCCTGTCTCTGGAGGAAGCGGAGAGCCACGGAAGCTACTCCTCGGGAAACGACATAGGTGAGTTGGAAAACGTGGGCGCGTGTTCTGATACTGTGCGGGCAGTGCGGAAGTGGTAACAACAGTGGACGCCGGAAACTGCGTTTTAAATGTGATTTTTTATTTGGTACGAAGCTCATTTAAAACAAATTTAGGGCATTGCAAGTTCTATAAATACACAAAATTATAACATGTTTTTTAATTTAAAAAGTGAGCAGATTTTCCCTCTTACTAGCATTTCCTCTTTTAAATATTATCTTCAAATGCTAGACATTTTTGTTTATAATTATAAGCCAGGATGGCTATGCATTTTGAGATTTGAACTTCTTTCTTCCATTGTTTATAATCTGAAAATAAAATCTGAAGCTGGTAGAAAGTTGTTCTTACAGTGAGAGAGTGGCTTTGATGGCCTTTGACCCATCAGGAAACAGCACAGCGCGTCTCCTTGGCTGGGCCCTGATTTCCAGGAAAGGTGTGTGCAGTCAGTTCGAGTTGTCCCTCTGGCCTTCACGCACACGCGTGTGTGCACGCACTCCTCGCGGAGACTGGCTGCTTCCCGAGGACCCACTGGAAAGAATTTACACTACTTGTTCACTGCATCTCGCTGTGCTTTTAACCTGTGGGTTAACTACTGTACCTTTCTGATCATTTTGTATCATCAGAAATTACAGCACTGACGGAAAATGGGAAGGAGTGCATTTGCATTGTGGTGTTTTACGTGAAACAGTTAAATGTGTCCATCCATTATTTGCTCCCACAGTAAAGACTTTAAATAGTTATCTTTTAAAAAGCCACTTCTGAGAACTGTACCACCACAGACTTAGGATTTTCAGAAAAAGAGGCTCAGCGCTGTTAACTTGAACGTTGCTCCAAGATTCCAGGTCCCTGCGGGGGGTCACGGGGGCGGGGGAGGGGGGCGCGCGTTTACAGATCAGCCTGACATTCCTGACGTTTCTCCCAGCTTTATTGAGATTTGCGTGACATACAACATCATGTAAGTTTAAGGTATAGCATAAACAGATGTTTATTGAGTACATTTGGTCCAGGCATTAGAAATCTAATAGAAAGGAAGTGAATATCGCCTTAGAGTATAGCGAGCAGTGGGAACGAAAAGTGAACGGCTGTAGTTCGCGCCCGGCGCTCACAGGCAAAGGACACGCGGGCGAGCGGGCGCGGGGTGGCCGCGTGCTGCGCCCCCTGCACCGTCGTCTGCGGTGGGAGCTCCCCCCACTTAGCACCGGGGCCACCTGACCCCCGGACAGAGCCCGCGAGAGGGGCCCGGGTGCTAGCGCGGAGGCGCGGGGGGTGGGGGGGGCGGGGTCCGACGAGGGAGCACGAGCAGCGTGTGTGAGCAGGTGGGAGAAACGGCCCTGTAACGCGCTCAAAAAGGAAGCAGAGAGGCTTTTTCCTTTTATAATTTAAAAACTATCCTGAGAGCGAGCCAGGGACCGGAGGAACAGAACAGGAAGTCCCGCTTCAGCGGGGTGGGCGGGCCCTTCGTGTCCCGGTGTCCGCGGGATGGCCGCTGGGGGTGACCGCGGGAGAAAGACGGAGGGCAAGCGCGACCCTCAAAGGTCGCGCTGTTGATGGCTTCCGAGCCCCCGGAAGAAGGGCGAGGCCTGCGGTGCTTTGTGTCGGGGAGGAAAGGGGCCGGTTTGGGGGGCGGCGCCGGAGAAACCGCAAGGAGGGCGGCGGGGTGCTTGGTGGAGATCGGTCCTGTGAGAAACCAGGAGCGGTTTGAGGGGCAGAACACAGCCCCGTGGCCCGCACGCCTGGCCTGTGACTCAGCGCCGCCGCCGCCGTGGCTTCGCTGACGGGTTACTGTGAGGACCGCGTGTCTTTTCGGTAGCGTCAGGCGCCAGCAGGCTGTCCGCGGATCGGACGGCCGCGCAGCGTCCGGAAGAGCAGGGCAGTTTCAGCTCAGGTCCCGTTTCCGTGGAGTCGGACCGGCGAGCTCTTTGGTTAACTCATCTCTGATGCCGTCGTGTTCTCACCTGCAAAATGGAGATAATAAGAGCGCATCCCCCATACGGTTATAATGACTGAACTGAGTTATTTGTGAAGCGTTTACTGTGACACAAGGTACATCATATAAATACTTGCTAATAAAGATGTTTAATTTGTTAGGTGTGATTCACATAAGATTTATTAGATCTTTAAAACTGGTGTTATGTATCGCATACTTTTCTGTATAATAATTTGGTATTACTTTAGCTATTGAATGTGGTGGGAAAAAGGATTATTAAAATTTTACATTTGTTTTCCATGAGAACACTTTTTCTTTATGTTGTTCAGGATCTTTCTAAAATGGATGCGCAAACTACCCGCCTTGCCAATAAAGTAATAATAGCTGAATCTTTTTTAGATTGAAAACTTTGCAGGATGCAACAAGCTTGTGGGTAATTAAATTCTATTTAATGAAGTTGCACTGTATTTTTTGAGATTTTGCATGTTGGCTTTTCAAAAAGTTAAATCAATACATAAAAGTAACCTCATGTGTATATCCCTTTTTTGAAGTTAAAAGGAACCAAGTGGATTCTCAAACATAGTGACTCCAGGTAGAGCTTGTGTTTTAACAGGTTTCCTTCTGGTACTGATAATGTGTGGTCCCAAGCATATTATTTCACCTTCAACTTTAAAAGCCTTAGTGCAAAAAATATAATTTTGAAATAGGTATTTCCTTAAAAAAATTTTAATGCCAACTGAAGTACTTGTATCACTGTGGGGTTTTTTTTTGTCTGATTGACTTGGAATGCAATGCCACATTAGTAGCTATGAAAAATCCTTTTCCTTTTCAGTATTAATGATAATGTTCTTTTTGTGAAAGGAAACCATTTAAGGTTTTTTTTACGCCAACTTCTTTTGACATTTTCTGTTTTCTGACTCAGGGCCTTTTGGAGAGCGAGACGATCAACAAGTGTTCATCCAGAAAGTCGTCCCCATCACTAACAAGCTGTTTGTGAGACTCTCTTCTACTGGGAAAAGGTAACTCTTCCCCGCGCAGGCGTCTATGCGCAGGTGTCACTTCCACCTCACAGAACACACAGCGGAACAGTGTGCGGGGTGGGCTGGCGCAGGGGGTCCCAGACGCTAACTGTTGAGAGGGGGGTCTGTTCATTACCTTGTGACTGTTTGGACTTAGCTTCAGGCCCATGTATTAGTGCCTGTTCTACAGGATGTGTTTACGGTTTCCACGGTGCTGTCACAGCTGGGGAGGACCTGTGACGCAGGCCAAGGGCAAGGCGGCCGTGGCGGCGGGCTGCCGAGCTGCAGCCTGGCGACTCTGGCGCGCCCTGTGCACATCCGGCCTCGGCGGCTTGCTGCCCTGCGCCCCCGTTAGTTCATGAAATAAGGCCCGGCTGCCTTGGCAGGGTGTCACGGGACAGAGCGAGCTAAACGCCTGTGGCCTGCCTCTTGCAGTCCCCAACTCCAGTAGGTGCTATGTGGAGGTTGGTTTCCCCTTCGTTTTCCATTGGACTGAAATTTTACTTTGTGTAAAATTATTTATAGCCACAAACACATTGAGCTATATAACATTTTAGAAACGAAAAAAAAAATTTTGTATGTCAAGAAGTAAAATTTCTGTTAGTGGTCATTAAGGTTAGGGATGGTCACATTCATGTTACTAGTGCTGATATAGTTAATAATGTCTCACTTATCTTCAGCACGGGGTTTCTCATTTCTTAGTGTTTTAATAAACTCTTTGAGATGAATTTATTTTTACTGATATATTCAGGTCATCACAGTATTGAGTTGATTCCAGAGAATTTTATGTATTAAGCCATCTTTTTGTAAATTTTTTTTTATAAAAAAGAAATAGCATGTAGTTAGAGGCCCGACTGTCATCTTGAGATGACACAGCTGCACAGTCCTTTTGGTTCCAGGTGGTTACAGGTTTTAAATGACTTCTCAGGGTCTTTTCTACTATGGTGTCTACTTGCTTAGCTTTTTTTCCGTCCGTAACTTCCTTTGAAAGACTCTCATTTCCTACCATGGCTCTTTCAAGCTTGACTTAAATTTTCCCTGATTTTAATTACTTGCACATTATTTTATAAGATCCTTTCCTCTAGACTCAAAGAAAGTTTGACTTTGATTCCTGTTGACTTGTCATGTTTGTCTGTTTTATATATGTGGAGTATTCAACTATAACTTTTCATGTAATAAATTAATTTAAAATCTCAATTACAGCCCTGGCTGGTGGCTCCATGGACTAAGTGCTGGCCTGTGAACCAGAGGGTCCACGGTTTGACTCCCAGGCAGGCACATGCCTGGGCTGTGGGCCAGGTCCCCGGTTGGGGGCTTGCGAGAGGCAAACGAATGGATGTCTCTCTCGCGCACTGATGTTTCTCCCTGCTCTTTCTCCCTCCCTCCCTTCCTCTCTCACTAAAAAGCAAATAAAATTTTAGTGACAGCGTCACTCGCTCCCCACAGTTTACAAAGGCCCGGCCTCTCTTGCAGGATCTGCGAGATCCAGGCCGTGGACGGCACCACCATCTCTGCGTTCACGGTGCGGGAGTGCGAGGGCTCCAGCAGGATGGGCTCGCGGCCCCGGCGCTACCTGTTCACGGGCCACACGAACGGCAGCATCCAGATGTGGGACCTGACCACGGCCATGGACATGGTCAGCAAGACCGAAGACAAGGGTAGGTCTCGGGGGAGCCGGGGGGGCGGGGCGAGCTCAGGGTGCGCGCGCTCACGGGCGTGGGTGTTCTCCCCAGACGCCGGGGGCCCGACAGAGGAGGAGCTGCTGAAGCTGCTGGACCAGTGCGACCTGAGCGCCTCGCGCTGCGCCACCCCCAACATCAGCCCGGCAACCTCCGTGGTCCAGCACAGCCGCCTGCGCGAGTCCAACTCGAGGTAGGCCGGGCGCGGTTGCGAAACCGGCGTGGGTGCGCTTGGGGAGGGGGTGGAGGTCTGGCGCCGGCCTGTCCTCAAAAAGCCAGGCTTTTCTCAGTACAGTTCAAATTCAGACTTTCTGTTGCTATTCAGTTAAAAAAAAAAAAATTACTGAATTTTTCCACTACAGGCTTCTGGTTCTTTTAATAGAAAACCATTTTTACCCTTTACCTTATTTTGTGACTGTCTGCTAATTGGGAGTACCTGTTCTGTGACCGAGAATTCATCCAAAGGAAATGAGAAGAGCTGTGGCGCCTTGGATAGGATGCGGCACTCCGTCCCTATTGCCTCCGTCCCTATTGCCTCCGGGACACACTGATCGAGTGCTCGCACTGTCTTAACCGCCATGCATTGATTGCGTAATCTAATTTTTAGTCTGTTGAGGTATAACTGACAGCCATACAATGCTATATTAGTTACTGGTGTACAACATAATGATTCAGAATTTATATATATTATGTACTTTTAAGGCAATGATGTAATATATCTTTTTAGTTAGTATTAAAAATATCCAAAATCTGAACTTTTGGGCCAAGTGCTGAATTATATTGGTTCTACATCAGTTCTTAAAATCTTTGTCTATTCAAATATTTACATTGTTATAAAAATAGCCACAGGGATGTAAAGTACAACCTAGGGAATATAACCAATAATGTGATACCCGTATGGTGCCAGGTGGTTATTAGACTTAGCGGGCATTAATTCGTAAGTTTGTAAGTGTCTCAGTACTATGTCATACACCTGCAGCTAAGATAACACTGTATGTCCATTGCAATGGAAACTGCTTGACTGAATATCCGTATTTGCAGTGACAGTTGTATACACACATGCATATACTATATAAAGTACTTAAATATGTCATGTGTTCATAACGGTGGTTTAATTACTGAGACGTGCCTCTGAAAATTTTCGGGAAGATCTGAACTACAGCTTTCAAACCCCTTTCAGCCTTCAGCTCCAGCACCAGGAGACGGCCCGCGAAGCGGCCACTTACGGGTCCCTGCGGCCTCACCGGGAGAGCCCCCTGTTGGCCAGGGCGAGGCGGACCGAGAGCTTCCACAGCTGTCGGGACTTTCAGGCCCTCAGTCTGAGCAGAGACGGAGACGCAGCTGTCCCCGAGAACGCGGGCTCGGGCCCCGCACAGGCGGAGGCCAGGTGCGCAGCGGGGGAGGGCAGTGGGACTGAGCGGAAGTCCCCGGGAGCAGAGACCAAAGGCGGGAGAGAATGGGAGAGCGGAATGGAAGTGCACAGGCTGGCCGAAGCCTTCCTAGAATCCAGGAAAAGGTCGTCTGAAGACGAAAATGAAAACAGAGCAGAGTTAAGGCGGAAGGCGGGGTTTGAAGGGGGCGGGTTCCTGGGGAGGAGGAGAGGGCCCCACCTGGCTTCGTCTCCCAGTACCTCCGATGGAGGCACTGACTCCCCGGGCACCGCATCCCCCTCTCCCACCAAGACCACGCCATCCCCTCGCCATAAGAAGAGTGACTCCTCAGGCCAAGAGTACAGCTTGTGAACGCTCAACCAGAACGAACAGAGTTTTTTTTCCCATTTATCTATGTATATTGATTTTTACAAAGGGGAAAGGAGAGAGAGAAACATCAATCAGTTGCCTCTCATACATACCCCGACTGGGGATCAAACCCCCAACCTTTTGGTGTTCGGGCCGGTGCTCTTAACCAGCGGACCAGCCAGCCAGGGCTTTTTTTTTTTTTTTTTTATACATGCTTTTTAATTAATATGGGTATTAAATATCTTAGACAATACTCATTTTTTAGAGGAGTTCCACGTCATCCATCTACAGCGTGAACTTCCGACAGAGGCAAGCTAAGCACCCGCGCATACAAGTGGAAGGAACGTGCCCCGGGAGGGGGGGGGGCAGCTCACAGAGGAGGCACGAGGTGTTGCAGAGGTTCTGAAGTTTCACACCAAAACCTGACGGATGAAAACTGGACTTCACCTAATATGTTCAACAAAGTTACCTGGAGTAAGGAGAGCAAAAGCTCTATCCCGTTTGACCTTTTGGAAGATTTTATTTTTTTAGGTTTACAAGTATGTTTAATGGGCACTTTGTAAAGCAAGAGTCCGTTCCCATGGGTAGTTGCCCCGGGGAGCTCGGAAAGCGGGGTAGCAAGTACCCCTCTGAACAAGGCGGTGCCCGTTCTGGCGTGGGAACCTACGGAGCACATTCCTCTTCTTGATTATGCCTGAGATTTGTCTTGCAAGGTTGTCTTAAGCGAATCACATAATTCTCTTTGGAACTTAGTCTCTCAATCTTTAGTGTGACTGCAAAGTGTTTACCTGATATTTAATGAGGTGCTATGTGTGTGAAGAAATACCATGTAATTCAAAAACACTATTGATGTTGAATAACAGATTGTAGATTGTACTGGTAGCAGTGAGTTCCTTAGGGCAATTTTAACTCTAGGTCATCTTCTGATTCTCATTGTTTGCGGGGGGGGGGGCGGGGGGCGAGGGGGTCTTAAATCTTGGCAGGCATCCCAAATATTACATGCCCAATGTCCATTTAGACTTCCTTAAAGTTAGAGCAGTTGTCTGTGTTGCAACAGAAGAAATAAAAATCATCATCAGGGACAAAGCTGCTAGTGCCCAGAAGGGAGAGCCACACCAGCCGGGTCCACGGTGCCTCCCCGCCCGCATTACTAATCAAGAGGCTGAAGTTAGAGCGTGGCCTTTTTGTCAACTTATGAGACTACAGTTATGAATTTTTGGTTAAAGGTTTTGGCTGCTGTTAAAATGTTATTTTGAATATATTTTAAATCGTAAGAATAAATGAATTTTTCAGGGTTTTTTTTTTTTTTCATTTAATTGGCATGATTTTCGAGATTTGGAAAGATTTTCAAATTTCTGCAAATAGGGTAATTGTAAATTTAAAGCATTAAGCATGTATTGGTGAAAATGTATATATTCCCATTCCAAGAAATTGAGTGAGTGCAGTTGAAATAAATGATTTAAAGTTTACCATTTTACCAGTGGTTTCACAACCATTCTCTTGTATTTATTGATCAATTAAGTCAAATAAAAATGATTAAGACTGTGTGTTTTCAGTTCCTTTCAGAACAGTTAGCTATCTGTTTAAAGTACACCCACAGGAGCTTCCTTATCTCTTCTCACAACAAAAACAGGGCGGGAGGGGCCATGAACGTGCATGAAAGCTCACTGGCCTGGTCAGTGCGGGGGCGGGAGCGGGAGCAGGCGTTCGGCGTTGCGAAGGGTTGTCATGAGCTGTTGTGTCTTTGTTAAAGTTGGTGGGCAAGTAAGAAAATTAAAGCAAAAATCTGAGCACTTACCTGGCCTTTTCCAAGGGTCCAGGGCCGTTAGGAAGAGACATTTATTTGTAACTTTACATGAAGCTCTGTCAAGAGGTTTGGCGAAGAGCTGCTGTCGGCACCGCACTGAGCATACCCCACTGCCCGGCACACGGCCTCAGCGCGGGGCTCCTCTCGCGGGGACCCCGCCTGGCCTGCGGCCGGGACTGAAGCAGAACCTCACAGGGCCCGGCGGACCTCTGTTCGCGGCGGGTGGGGGGGTCGTGCTCTGACTCGGGGGAACTAGAGCCACTGGCTCCGCTCCCTGGCGCCGACTGGGGCCTGCTGGAGACCACTGCTGCTCACTCGCCTAACCCGCGGCCTTGCTGCTGCGCGGAGCCGGGGGAAAGCGCCATGGTTTTAGCCTCTGCAGGACAAGTGTCCTCACAGGGATGGGACCCTTCATTTCAGACAACCAGAAAAACAACATTCCCTAGACCTCTACTGGGGAGGGACAAGGCCAGCAGCAATTCTCATTTCCTGCTAGGGTTACAGAATGCCGGGCAGCGCCCTCAGCATCCGCAGTGTGTGGGGTCGGCGCGCGGGGGCGGGCGAGAGCCCACTCCCAGCGTCACTCACGTTCTGCAGGTTCCCGTGTGCTACAGCTGGGTGTCGGTGAATGTGGTGTGCTCCTTCGTCACCGAGCTGAAGCCCTTGATGGCGTTCATCAGGTCCTCCTCATCCACGTACTGAAACAACAGGCGGCCCGGTCAGCGCAGCGCCTGCCACCCACTGACGGCTCTACGGTCCCACGGGCCGTGTCCCAGGCTCGGCACTGCGAGGTGTGGCCTGAGACCCTCTGCCTGAAATTCCCCTCAATGGAAGGAGGACTCCGCATGCACCCTGAACTACCGGCTCATCCAGAACGCACGTCGTTTGAGGACCGCATTCTGCCACACCGGCGTCTTTCCGAGCCCCAGCTTTCTGGGTTGCCAAGGGGGAAACAATATACATATTTAAGATTTAGTTCAAAGGGCAAGTGGAAGAACCAGAATGGAAGCTCTGTTGCTCCATTGCTTCCTGCTCTCTTACTGCATTTGTATTTACCGACGAGGTTTAGTAATGCTAAGGAACAGATAATTTGCCAAGTATTGGCAATTCAGAAGCAGACACTGTATCACTTTGCACACTGCCTCTTACTAGTACTGTCGAAAGCAAGCACAAGTGGCATCTAGTGTCACAGTGGAAAATAGGGGCTGTGCAGCCAGACGTTTTTAAGATCCCCTTTCTAAAGAACAATGACCAGCTGTGTCTGTGGGTGAGGACATGCATCTAAGCCTTCTGTGTGTCAGGCTGAACCGGGTGAAACTGCCATTTTGCACGTTCATCCAATATGATCAGTTAACAATTCCATGTTTCAACTCATGTAATTATCCCTGCCATTTAGAAACTAGATCTGGAATGAAATCGTGGAATCCAATAGTCATATTAATATCGAGGAGGCCCGTGACTTAATACTGCATAACGTATCATCCTGAACAAGGCAGGAGGACTGTGTAGTTTATTTCTTCACTGTGATTGGAGCCTGGAAACTACGACTTTACCTCAGTTAAGAAGGGCTTCCTGGCAGCGACTTTTCAGCGAAGGAAAAGTTAGGACTTGGAGACAGAGAGAGTCCAGAAGCAGGACAGTGAAAGAAAAGGGGGTGAAGAATTCTCCCTGAGAGGAGGCTCCCAGCTGGCGCTCTGTTTATTACTTAACTGCCCCAAAGATACGTTTCTCCAGTGGAAGTCTAGGTAGTTGGCACAATGAAGAAGTTTGCGGGGAGGGGAAACTGGAGGAATTTATGCGTTTCAGTCACTAGGGGCTCATAGCACGTAACAGATAAGGAGGTTAACTTTCAGAGTCAGTTATTTGTGCCCACGGGACTGAGTTTGAGAAAGGTGACGTTCATAAATAGGAGCACCCTTATGATTTGAGCTACTAGGAAAGGAACTGTTGAGCCCACTTGGAGGCCCTTTTTCTCGAACCATAAACAGGAAGGAAAAGATGCTTCTGCACTCTTTTTTTCCTGTATAATAAAACATACGCTTGTCCTTCATGCCTTGTTTTAGGCCAGTTATGTTTCCAGTCCCCTCTGCTCAACGATGTCCCTTTATTTACTCATGAATTTATTTTCTGAGCTCTCTTGTGTGCTAAAAAACAAGACAACGTTTCTATCTTCCTCGTCAATCATAGCGACACTAGCAAAATGCTCGGGTAGCTGGTCAGAGGGGCGCACCTGGGCTGTGGGCGGCCTCGGTCGGGCACCCGAGGCGCCACGCCGCCTGCGCGCTCGGCAAAGGCTCAGGGGAAGAGGCGCACTCACCAGTCCGCTGTCGTGGCCCATGATGGTTTCCCACAGCGAGTCGTCGACCAAGACTTTCTTGTCCTGAATGTGCATGAGCTGGCTGACGCTGCTGTGCAGAGAGCTGTGGGAATAGGCGTGGCTGAGATGGCTCTGACTCGGGATTCGAAGGACAGAGATGCTCCGGTTGCTCCTGAGACTCACGCGCGCCCCAGAGTGTGGGATCTTGGTGTCAGCCAACCCCTGCAGAGAAAGTCACTGCTGGTGACAAGGGGCTACAGAAAGGGGATTGGATGCAGGACAGAAGAGCGTGCGTCACACACTGTCAATAAAGGGAACGCTGCCTCCATTGCTTCCTACAGCACTCAACTGCGGCCCAGCGTCTGGGTGGAGACGAGAACGATGAAGTAACAGCTAAGTCGGACGCCCGCCAGGGTTCCCAGCACCTGGAGAGTGCAGGCACTGGTCCTCAGACCTCCCTGTACGCGGGGCTGGCTGCTCCGCAGAGGCGGGCAGACGAAAGACCCCTTCCTGACACAGCTTCTCTCGGGAACACCGCTCGCCCAGAGCAGCCCGTCCACCGGCTTTTCCCCGGGTTCCTACGCAGGGAACACGTCTGTTCTCACACTTACGCTTGGACATTCTCGGATTTGTGCAGGGAAACGGACTGCTCCCTCCCTGTTGTCTTGTTCCACATCTCTCCCCGTGTTATAGGACCCGGCCTCCAAAATAAGTCAGGCCTGATCCTAACAGCAGAAGCACAGAGGCGCTCTGATTAGGACCTAGAGTCCAATTAGGGCCTGGAATGAGGAGTCTAGCTACTCCTAAACCTCAGAGTGCTCTGCCTTAGCTGGTCCAACAGCGAAGCCTCCCTGCTTTACCCTGTACAATCGACACATCATGCAAAAGGCCATGCATTCACGCAGCACACACAGCCACCTCGAAGTGCATGGTGTAGCTTTTCAGGGTGACGTTGCTGGACACGTCAGACACGTCAGCCACAGAGTCAAACTGCGGACAAATAGGGAGACATCGGTCAGTGTTCGGAACATCTCAAAGCTCAGCGTTTCTCCAATGACAGCATCCCGTCCTCGTACTTCCGTGCGGTCCTGAGATGCACAGACACGCACCTGCACGTGGCTGCGTCCTGCACCAACCCCAAACCACGGCCCGCAGGGCGACTGCTGCCCTTGCCTGTCCCCAGCAGGCCTGCTCTTTGGGCGGGACAGCTTTGTCCTGGGCTCACCGACTGCTCATTGCTGTGTCCTGGAAAACGGGCGGGCTCTGGAGGCGGACAAGGCTACTATTCCCTCATTTCCGTTTTTTCAAGTGTTGAAACTTAAGCAGTTTGATGAGACGTCTGTGCTTCACGTTGCTGCGGCTGTGATACAGTGACTTAAATACATTTTGGTCTCTGTCTCCATTTCTGGCACAGAGCTCCTAAACCTTTGGAATTTCCCAAGTGTTGCGAGCGTTTGTTATGCTAATTTGGTGGCTTTTGGGCCTCACCTAAGGAGGGGCTGGTGGCCAGTAAGACCAAACACTTGAGGAGGGAGTTGGAACTTCTAGTCCCATCCCCCGACCTGGCTGCAGGCTGAGTCACTCGCTGTGGCCGCTGATTTAATCGATCGTGCCCAGGTGGTGAAGCCTCCATAAAACCCAGAAGGGCAGGTTTGGCGCGCTGGGCGGGTGAACACCCGAAGGTTCAGGGAGAGCGGCAACCTGGGGAGGGCGTGGGAGCACCGCACCCTGTCCCCAGGCCCCGCCCTGTGCACCTCCTCCACCGGGCTGCTCCCGAGTTACGCCCTGTTACAATCAATCGGCCATCTAGTGTTTCTCTGCGTCCTGTGAGCCGCTCTAGCGTATTAATCGAACCAAGAGCCGCAGGAGGCCTTTGGAACCTCCAGTCTGTGCCTGGGCCTGTGACTGGCATCTGAAGTTGGGTGTAGGGGGCAGTCTTGAGGGGCTGAGCCCAAAACCTGAGGCCCTGACACTGTCTCCAGGCAGACTCGGAATTAAGTTGGATTGCAGAACAGCCAGTCGGAGTCAGGGAATTGCTTGTTCCGAAAAACTGCCCACGTGGGGACTGGGGGTCCGAATTTCAGTCGCCCGGGGCCACAAGCTCACACAGAACCTCGGTGCAGACTGCAGAGCAAGTGGCCCTCGCTCGGGCAGGTGCAGGCCCGCAGAGCAGCCTTGTGCAGCGGGGGCGGGGTTAGCGACGCAGCCTGCCCTCTGCAGGGGGCGCACCCCACACCTGAGTGCACCTCCCGATCCAGTCACCTTTGACCTCCCCGACTGCTCGGCGACGACCCCCCTGCAACGCCATCTGTGAGACCCTCGCCCTCCGACCTTGGCCTGACCACATGTGTTGGGCGCGGGTGCACCAGGGCTACAAGGAGCCGTCCATCCCGGGGACCCTGGGCCAGGGCATGAACAGGCACTGCTAGCAGGTCAGTCCCTCCCTGTCTCGCCCTTTACAACTGATCCCCCAAGTCGCACGGTTGTATAACCTGTGAGTTCCCAGGGGACGTCCCTATACGACTCCTCGCCACTGTCCCCTGCCTCACAACACAGAGTGGAAATAGGCGCGCCGGGCGCACGCCAGAATCACTTTCTGGAGTTAAAAGAGGAGGTGAATCCCCAGGCTCCACCCTGGACCGATGAAATCAGAACTTCTGGGATAAGGCCCAGAAGTTTCCCGTGTGTCTTAGTAACAAAACACCATAGACTGTAGCTTAGGAACCACAGGAATTTACTTCCCAAGTTCTGGAGGTTGGAAACCCAACCTCCAGGTGCTGGCTGCCGAGGGCCCGGTGGGGACCCTCTCCCTGGCTCACGGAAGGGGGACGCTCTTGCTCTGGCCTCTCGTGCAGGAAATCCCGTTCGTGAGGGTGACCCCCATGACCTAATCGCTTCCCGGTGCCCTCACACTGCGGATTAGGGTTTAACATGGGAATTTCGGGGGAGGGGCAGCGTTTAGTCTGTAGCACCAGGTGATTCGAATGTGCAGCCAAAAGTAAGAATGTTCTAGAGTTAGCGTCCCTTGGTCCGCACCTTGGGTCAGACCCAACTACCATCTAGTCCGTTGTTACCACGGCTCCGGAAAGCTCTCCCTCTAAACAAAAGCACATTTTCTAGTCTCACGATAGGAAATGGGGCCCCCTAGACACCTACTACGTGGGTTTCCCGCGGCGGGTAGACACTCAGTGAGGACGTCCTCTTCTGAACAGGTACTAAGGGGGGCCTCTCTCTGATGTAGGGCTCCTTGTGGATTCTTCTTTGCAGGACCAGGGACAGAAAGATGGCCAGCAAGATCAAGCCCAGGACCGCCATGAGCGCGACGAACCACAGCTCGCTGTAGAACTCCACGCCGCCGCTCCCGGCCCCCGGCTCTCCTCCCGGCGTGGTCGGCTCCAGGCCTGCCAAGCCAGGGACACGGGCCGTGTCACTCCTGAGGGCAGGCTTGTGCTCTCTCGCCCTGCTGTTCGGGGCAGGGGGTCTCAGGGAGCCGGTCTGCGCCTGTGCTCGGGCACGGGGAGGCGCAGTCGCTCTGCCTCTCTGGGGCTCTGCTCCCCCCCTCTCCATTGGAGAGCTGGAGGCGAAGCGCTGCCCGAGCCCCAGCAGGTCCCAAGGCCTCGAATCAGGAACCGACGCGTGTGTTGTGGTTAAACCAAAACCACACCTGGGCTGTCCCTTCCAGGAGCTGAGTTCCTGTGTGTGCACACGCGTGCGTGTGTGTTTGCGGTGCAGGGCTGTAACCCCAGAAGCCGATCTGATGGCCCCAGTGGGCCCCTGGCCTAAGTGGACGCCTGGGGACGCCTGGGGACGCCCGCCTGAAGGAAGCCCCGGAAAGGAAGGCGCCCCGGGATCAGCAGGCGGGGACGGAGCCTCACCTGTCGCTCCTGCTTGGAGGCGCCTCCGGGCAGGGAACAGGAACGTGAGGAAAGTAATAGAAAAATTGAAGCTGACTAGGAACACTAGCTGGACACTCCGCCTTAGACTTTTGCATAACTCTGCACAATCCTCAAAGTTTCCTTCTCTCATCAACGGGATTTTTTCTTTTCAAAATCAGTTCAAAGGCCTCCATCCTTGCCATGGCCGGGGAGCTCAGTGGGTTAGAGCATCGCCTCAATACACCAGGGCTGCAAGTTCAACCCTCGGTCAGGGCACATACAAGAGGCAACCAATGAATGCATAAATGAGTGGAACACCACATCGCTGGCTCTCTCTCTCCCTTCCTCTAAAATCAGTAAGTAAAAATAAATAGATAAATAAAAATAGAGGACCCTGCCCATCAGTGGGTTCTGCCGGATGTGGGGCCTTGGTCCCCTGCATGAGGGTCCCTGGGACGGGCTTGTCTAAGGGCAGGCTCCTGGCCCCGGCTGACCCCACATCTGAGCCGGGCCCGGGAAACTCTAACTCAGACGTGCTCTGCTGGATTCCACAGCCGCTACTGAGTGCAGGGAGGTGGGCTCTGTGGGCAGGGCTATGCTCGGTGCTGCAGGGAGCTGTACCTGGCCTCCAGACATGACAAGCCTGGAAAAATACACTAATTTTATTATTGTACATATTGACGTTATCCTTGATGACAATATGTATGTTCACCTGTGTTTCAGAATGTTTGGGCACGTTTATTAAAAAAAAAAAAAAAAAGGGTCCCAACTATGCATACAAATTTGATATAACAGTACTAACCGGAATTTAACACAGGGCATCAGTCCTAACTGTGTTCTCAAAAAAATTTTTTGGTACTTTTCTAACGTACCCTTTGAAATTGTTGTTTTGCAGATATTAGAGTCAAAATCTGTGGGTAGAACTCGATTTAAAAGCTGCTCTGTAAAAATTACTGCTCCATCTCCTCAGCTACCATGCTTGGCATTAATGGTTGATCCTAACCTTTTATAGCCGATACAAGGCAGAAATTCCCCAAACTCCCCATTTTACCCTGGAATATTATCACGATCAACACAGATTGGAATGAGAGTGTTTTCTCTCTTCATCTGATCTCTTCCTTTCGACTTTCCCTAAAAAATAGGGTTTTTTTTTTGAGAAACAAAGCCTTCTGCATAGCTCTTGACGGACAGAACCTGTGCTTAGGAGAGGAGGGTCGAATCTCTCTGCACCTGCAAGTCCATGATTTGGCATTTTCACAGCCTATCCTAACTCCTTGCCTAAGGTCAGTTCCATGAGGACTTTTGAAAATTCTGTACAGCACTGAACACAATGTCTTCCAATAGTCTATGCAAGTCTATTAGCACAAGTATGTACAAACAAACCAGGACACATTTCTTTAGAAAATGAGGTGCCGCACTAGGCACAGCGCGAGGGAAGTGTTTACCCGGCCCAGCAGACGCGCCAAACCGGATCACAGGCGTCCTCACGCTCCCTTCCTCTGTCGTGCACGTGACCTGGAAAGAGAAGGCTGCACAGGGAGTAAGTGGCTCACCATGCGCCACTCCGCACAGTGGGCACACTTTGAGAAGGACAACATGTCATAGCATGAAAAAGCCTGAAAACAGGTTTCCAGGGCAAATGGTGAGATTTTTACCTCATATGCGAACTTATTTCTAATTTTACGATTATCAAGAAAAGTAGCTATAATTAGTATACTAATAACATATATATATATACATATACATATACAAATATATATGTAACAGAAGCAGCTTAGAGCTTATTTAACAAAGTAAAAATTATCAGAGGAGAAAGGATGATACATGGAGTGCATCTTTTTCTGCGTACGGGCTACACCTGTTCCTTTAAAACTTACAGTGACCTTTGTTTCCCGCAGTGACCCCGTTTCTTCCTAAGCAGAAGTGCTCAAAAAGGATCTCGGAAATCAAGCGACCTAAACAGCGCTTTCGGGGCCCAGGGACCAGAGGGAAGGGAGATGGCCAAGGCCTGGCGGGAGCCGAGCCCGAGTCTCCCGGCGTCCAGCCGGCTCCCTGCCGCAGCCTGGGGGGCCGGGAGCTGCGACCGCAAAGAAGTGTAGCTCCACTGCCGTAAAACTTGCACTCATAACTGTTAAATAGCGTCAGGGCAATGCCGGAGCTCACTGTTTATCTGTGCTTGTAGCCAAAATAAGTAGTATTTTCAAGGAAATGAAAAAACAACACACTGATTAGTTCATTGTATGAACCCAGTTCGCTTAAAATGGTCTCACAGCTTGGCCCTGTGTCACACAGATCATTCGAACATACTTAATATCTTGAAAAGCTTTTCTCCATTTCAGTTGAAAAACCAGACAAACCGAGGCGAGACACACAATTCAACAGGGAGAAGGACTTCGGTTTCAGGGGGGAGAAAGGGTGGTTGTCTGTCTAGGGACCAGGCGCCCACCAGGTTTGGGAAGCCCTTCCCCGGGGGTCCTTCGAGCTGGAGGGGCCGCTGTCCCACGGGGCTGCCCTCGGGGCTTCAGACCCGTCGGGAAAACCTGGGGGCCCCCGAAAATGCGCTGTTCCAGGGCTCCCACCGGCTGCCCTGGGAGCACTTTCTCCTGGGACCCCCACCCATCCAGCTCCAGGCTGGTCTCCGCGAGGGGCCGCTGGTGTCACGCGGGGGCAACCCTCCCTGCATCGCAGCATCAGTGCATCAGGCAGCCACGAGCAGGGGACATCGTGGAAACTGCCGCCAGGGGGGGCCGCTTCCCCCGAGACACGTGCGCGGCCAGGCTCCGCGGGCCACCACTTGGGCAACCGCGCGGAGCGACAGGCGTCAGGGACTCACTCTGGCCCGCAGTCGTCGGGAGGCAGAGGGCGGTGTCCGGGCCGCAGTAGAGGCGCTGGCCGCCGTCGGTCAGCACGAAGTCCCGCAGCGGGCCGTTCAGGAGGAAGGTGCCGCCCCACTCGACGCACACCGCGGTCAGGTTGCCGTCCACCGAGGGGGGCGCGCGGTACTGCGGCGCTGCGGGAGGAGGGGGCCGCTGTGAAAAGGCCCGCCTCTGAGGGCGGGGGTGTGCTTTTTTTTTTTTTTTTTTTTTTTTTTAATATGAGCATCAAAAAATATTTTGGCCTGGCTGGAATGGCTCAATGGATTGAGTGCCGGCCTGCAAACCAAAGGGTCCCTGGTTCGATTCCCAGTCAGGGCACAAGCCTGGGTTGTGGTCAGGTCTCCAGTAGGGGGTGTGCATGAGGCAACCACACATGGATGCTTTTCTCCCTCTCTTTCTTCCTCCCTTCTCCTCTCTCTAAAAACACACACGAAACAAAAACTTCAAAAAATGTTTTAAAAAATGTTGGGGGGCCTTGCTAGTATCCTTTGTGTTGTCCTCAGTGTTTTTAAAAACGGGCATTGGAGGAGAAAACACCGGCAGGAACATGCGCGCACGGCTTTTGCAGCAATATTGCACCTGCATGTCCCCCCACACCGATGGAGAGCGGTGTCTTATGAAATAAAACTATTCACATATAATGGTTCTGCTCACAACATAGCCCTGTAGCTCATATTTTGTTGCTTTTTCCCCCTTTTAGCAGGTGGAGTATCCTCAACACTATTAACTACAGTAGACAGCTACTTTTCATATCAAATCGATATTTATTGCTACAAAGCCCCAAGGACTCGATGAAGTTAATATATTTTTTCCCCTCCAAAGCCAACTGCTTAGAGGGTGAATTATGGGCGTTTGTCATCTGTTTGTTTTTAAAGCTTTTTCTTGAGCCGTTAGTTTGTTTTCTGAGATAGTTACAAAGCCTTGCCAATAGCATCCCGGGTGTAATAATCCATTGCCCTGGCTAACCGATCAGTAGCACAGCACCTTAGTGCACACTCGAGCTCAGGCCTCCTAAGTGTTGTATCAGGTATAGGGCGATGCTGTGCGTGTTTTACAGGCCTGCTCTCCTTTTACATTGCAGCTCCTTTACTAGAACAAAGGAAAAAAGAATCCTTAACTGAGGCTCATCTTTTAAGTGAATAATTTTCGTAGAAAGAAATGAAGCAATCCCGTATCATTGTATCAAGTCAGAAGAAACTGACTTCATGAGATCTCCTTTTCTGCAAGGTAACCAATACATTTGTAACAGTGTTAAGATCCGTCTATATACTAAATTGGCTTTTAAGAAAAAAAACAATTGAGTCGTGGAAATAAATTTGGTATCCTTTTTCTTTAAAAATTAACCTATCTGTTGCTCATGTCAGTCACTTTAACAAAAGAAGGAATAATTACACTTTTGTGATCATCAGATTCAACCATGAAGACAAATGTAAGTCTTATCTTTAAAAATGAGACATTTTCATAAAGCCATAATTATTTTTTTTCGGCAAATACAAAAGCAAGAGATATCAAGCCCTACTTAAATATCTGGTTTGCCAACACGAATTTTGCCCACTATCGCAGGGGGCATTTGTCTGTGGCTTTCCTCTGTCACTTAGTTCAAGGGATTGCCACTTCTCTCTACATCAGAACAGAGGAAATAAAGGCAAGGCTTGTAAGTCGTATAAAACTAGAGGGGAGCTTTATTTGCCTTTCAGGATTTGGAGATCTTCCCGAGGAAATGAGTACCCAAACAATCAAAACACTCAGAAATCGCGGGTTTGGAGGCAGCTCCTGTGCCCTCCTCACTTGCAGCATCTGGTCTCATTCAATCGCGGCCACAACCTCTGCCGCGTGTTTCCGTGGTCAGTTTGCGCCTGCTCCTGCTAGGGACCATGCCGAGTACAGGAGATGCGGTCAGGACCCGAGAGAGTGTTTTTGGAAAGCAGATTCGCAATAGGCCCCCAAAGACTCCAAGTGTTATAGTGCTCAATGCAGTCAATTCCATACGTTACAATTGAATTTAAGAGGGAAATCAGATGTTCAAACCAAGAACTGTTCACAGAGAAATTCCTCACATTTCTAAAGGAAAAGATTAGAGACAACTGAAATGCCCAACCAATTCAGAGGCTGGAATTATTACACAGCCGTTACACTTAGTGGCTAAAGATTTTTTTTTAATGCCATGGGAAATGCAAATAAAATAATGTCCCATATAAAAAACAGACTATAAAATTTTAATTCTAAGGTGGTCTCCACTGTGTAATAAAAACTTACAGGAAAGGTATTAAAGAACAGAGTATGCCAAATATTAACAGAGGTTGCTTCCGGGTGGTGGGGTTATAAGCAGGACCAGCTTCACAGGTGAGCTACCTGTGCAGCTGAGCACGTAACAGGTGTGTTGCCCGTGCCGAGTCCTGGACTGAGGCTGATGCCCGGCTCAGTGTTGGGATTCCTTATGACTTCTGAACGAGGGGAATTCATGTTTTCCTTTTCCAGTGGGCCCACCAATTACGTAGCGGAATCTAAGTACTTGATTCTTAATGTTTTGTGTTTGCCTTTTCTACAGAGACAAATGTACCATATAAAATCTAATGAGCAGGTATTTTATAGAAATGTACACAGGCCTCGATTAATTAGTTACTTGTCCTTTTCCGGACTCAGGTGGCCTCTGCTTTCCCTCACGGCGCCATGTGCCAGTGCTGTGTGGAAATGCTGGACATGATGCCATATAATTTGGAAAAAAAAAAAGGGAGCGACAAACTTAAAAAAAAAAAAAAAGTCACCTCAACTGTCTGTCCTTCCCATTCATCAGCTTCTTCTAAATTGGGTTGTACTCCATCGCAACATGAAAACGCTCACTAAACTCGCCCCGGATCTCCAGGTAATTAAACGCAAGAGGCGTTTTTTCCTAATAGCCGTCTTCACTGACGTCTCAGTGGTAGGCAGTGCAATTCAACCTTCACTCCTGCCCTCTTATAACACTGGTTTCCTCCGCTTTTCATGACCAGCCTTAGCTGGGCTGCCACCGCACCCTCCCTGGCTGGGGGCGGGGGCGGGGGGCAGCCCCTTCTACTCACGTTCCTCCTGGGTGGTGAAGCTGACCCACTCGGAGGCCGCGCTGCCCGCCTCGTTGTGGGCCACGACCCGCAGCCCGTAGGTGGTGTACGGCCGCAGGCCCCCCAGGCTGGCGGCCCGCCCGGGCCCCCGGTGCTTCGTCTGGGGCGGGCTGGCGGCGCAGGGAGCGTCTGCGTCAGGAGGGCAGGCCCCGCGGAGCTGGAGCTCATAGCTAGAAAAAGGATGGGCCCTGGAATTAGTTTGGCTCGCTTGAGAAAAGGGTTGTAATTTCTAAGAAGATGCTTTGATTTCACTGAAGTACAAGTTCTTTACAACGTCCACGTGCATGCACGCTGCTGTCAGCCCAGCGACCGGTCCTCCTCATTGGAAGGGAGAAAATATTTCTCTCTGTTTAGAGGAGGCTGATAAAATCGTTCTCCCGAAGAAAATCTTTTTCTTCTCTGATTATTTTGAGTGAAATAACTTCTCTGCTCTTTCAAGCAGTGGTTCATGTCAACATTTTAAATCAGATCAAGGAAATTCTGACAACCACAGAACGTTCCGCCCCAGCTGAGGCCACAGAATGGATCATTCGAGAACCAAGGGGAGAAGGAAATTCCTTCAGTGAATGCAAACACATGGCACTGTCCTTCTTAGCAGAAGACAGCTTTGTGGTTCTCCTTTCTATCCGTCGCTGATGCTACAGTTTAAAACACTTTGCGAGGAACATTACCCCTGAAGTCACGCCCTTGTCTAATGAGTGACAGGTATCTGCTCACTAAGCAGCTCTTTGCGGGGGGGGGGGGGTTGTGAGGGGGGAGCCGGGTATGTCCCTAGGCATGGCTTCCTTTGCGACATTCACTCCTCTGGCCGGTCAGTTACCTTAGGACGGCACCATTAGGGAAGAGTGGGGGAGCCCACTGGCAGGAGGCTGTCCTCGGGGCCAGCGTCTGGACTTGGGGCGAGGACAGGCCCGAGGGCGGAGCCGGGCGCGTCCTCAGCTCTGCGGTGGGCCCTTTGCTGCAGCAGTTGGAGCAAGTGCAGGCCTCCACGCCGACGGAGTAGGTGGTGAAGGGCCGCAGGCCGTGCAGGGTCTGCTGCGCGGCCAGGCCTTCCGACAGCTGCGGGGCGGAGGAGACTCCGTGAGGCCGCGGCCGGACCTGAGGCCAGCGATCCGCGTGCATCGGGGCCCCACCTCCCGGGGCCAGAGCGCCGCGCCGGGCAGTCAGGGAGATGCACCGCGGATGCAGCCAGCATTCACCCCCAAGGAATAACCAACCCCCGGGAGAGGCGTGACTGAGACGTGCAGAACTGTAATGATTCAGCATCATTACATTTACATTTACATTTACATTAGTCAGGTAGGAGTCTGAGGTCGTAACAGCATAGAAATCACAAGGAATGCAGTATTTATTACCATAAAAAGATATTAGAAAATGGCACAAAATGCACAACATTTTGATAAAATACTATGACCCTCAGAATGATGTCTTTAAAAAGAAATCTGTATTTGAATTATATTCCTACTCAACATCCACTAAAGTTCATATGCTGCCATTGTGATTTGCATGTAACTTTGGGGTTGAAAATCTCCTCAGATCCAGGTTAGAGCTGGGTATGCAAGAGCTTAGAATATTTATTTGATATATCTGTATATGTTTATATTGTGTATTTTATATATTTTATATATATTTAAGAGTTTGATAATCTTTTTTTCTCTGAGGGTGCTGCTTGTATGAAGTATCACAGTCATTTTCTCAATTATCCTTTCTACATTATAAACTTTTTGGTTTATTTGGAGCAAATTATTATTATTATTATTATTTTTTACCTCACTGTGGTTCTATTAAGAACGCTTTGGAAAAGAAGTCTTCAGAAACTGATAACTAATTTTCACATTGGCATAAACAACATATAATTAAGAAGAGCTATCCATATTGGAAAAAATTGTATACCATGCACTCCAAATATAAATTATTTTAGTTTATTAGGATTATCATTTTATGAGCATGGATAATCAAGGGCTGATTGTATTTACATCATCTATAGTTACTGAACACGAAGCCCTGCAGGAAGTATGCTAATTCTCCTTGAACATGTGGTGGGAGGTCTCCTTGGATCTGGGAGCTGCCTTGCACACTTGTGTTTCAGTCCCCAGCTCTGGCCTCTGCACACGTGCCTGAACTGTCCCCCAAGCCAGCTTAAATAAGTTATAGTGTCACCCTGGGGTCTGCGCAATTTCTCTATGAGGTTTACGTGAACGAAGTATTGCAGTCTATGCTTGCTCACGAGGAATGGAAGACGGACAAGAAAAGAGACTTCCACGCACAGGCTTTCACACTCTTCATTTCAATAACGCAGGGGCTGGTCTCGTCGATTATTAGTGACCCTTCCGCCATCGGCTGGTATGAAAGGCGGTGTCGCTGAACAGCCACCTTGTCTCCCCAATGGCCCTGAGCAGGGTAACGCACCAACCTTGGCTGTACACCTTTGCTGACTTAGCTGTTTTGCAGTCTCTTCCAAGACGCTAGAACTTTCTCAAAGCCACTAAAAGAAAGACTGCGTTTCCAGGATGTGCCAGAAGTTTTCAAATGCTGACATGAGGATGCCAACGGTACTCTCTGCTCTAATTTTTTTCTTTTTCAGAGTGGCACGTACATCGCCAACCTGGCCACCTCGCTGCCCCTCACTCCAGGCCACCTGCTAGAACATTAAGGTCCGAGGTGCATTTTCTACCTAAATTAGCTTGATTTTATTCTCTCTCAAGTCATGGGTTTCTTACTCTCGCGGAGTCTTTGATACCGCCGTTCGCGGTCCTCTGCCTGAGCCCTGACGTTTTTTCTGTGTGCGTCTTGTTCCTTCTTAGGGGGATCTTTGTGCCCCTAAGTTCACTGCAGGGCCACTGAAAACACTCGGATGAGACAGAAGGACCAAGGAGAAGAAAAAGCAAGGGCATGGCGGTTTATGTAAAATAAACAAACAAACCAGTCCTGGAGTTTGAGTCCAAGGGCCACTCACCACTGTGTCGGCCGCACCAGGGCTGCTGGAGAACAGCCGGTAGAGACTGATGACCCCGTTGGGCTGCGCGGGGGCACTGATGTTGACCACTGCCTGCGTGGGGGACACCGCGTGGAACCTGGGGGCCCTGAGGCCTGCCGGGGGGGCGGGTCCGGTCCTGCACCGCATCCAGCTGCTGGGCGCTCTCCCTGCTGAATTCACAGCCCAGACCTTCCAAGAGAAAGCAGTGAGACCGGTCAGAAGCAGGGTAACCTCAGGCGGAAACAGAACGTGGGCAACCCAAACAACTGGACACAACGACAGAACGAGACCCTTTGATCTTGCAACTCTGATCGTGGAGGAGTGTGAGCCCTTCCTCGTTTTTCGCCGCTGCCCCTGTGAACACAGCGGGCCGCCCAGGAGCCCTGCTTCCCGAGCACAGCGGCTGGTTCAACCCGAGGAAAAGCCACCGGCCTCCGTGCAGAGGTGGCGTGATTTCTGTCAGCTTCTGCGAACTGGGTGGCTCTGCAGACTACGTAAAACTCAGCAATTCTTAAACACTGGCCCCACCAAATCTGCATGAAAATTAGATTTTCCTTTCATCAAGGAGGAAATAAACATATGGGAGGATGTATAATCTCATTTATCAAGAACTATTTGTATAATTAAACACGAATATCCTAAAAGGTTGCCTTAGGTCATCATTTGCATGAGTAAGTAATTTGTAGAATGTCAGGTACAATAGACAGAGTAGATGGATGTGTGAGTGTATAGGGTTAAATTAGGCCCAATAACAGCCAACTACACAGTGATCAATCAGAATGATAGATCTAAATGGCAATACAAGAAGACTGTCTCCGTGTTTAGGAGTCCCAGTATTCCTTAGTAAGCTTTCATCTTGTGCAGTCTAACTTCAGGAATTTTTTTTTCCTCATTTGGTGTCTTCCTTCTTTCTTTCTCTCTTTCTCTTTCTTTCTATATATCTTTCTATCTACCTACCCACCCACCCACCCATCCATCCAACCACCTACCCACTCACCCAATCACCCACCCACCCACCACCCATCCACCCACACTTGCCCTGAGCTTTTAAAGACACCCCTGGAAAACGTGTTTGCCTCTACAATCCACACTTCCTAGGTGTGTGTGGTCTTAAAGATGCATGAAGAACTTTCAAAATCTCAGACATTTAGAAAATAACTGTAGGAGAACACTTTACAGTGAGAGTTTAGTTTCATTTTTGTTTGTTTTGCTTGGGCATCAATAACACCTTCAAGAGAATAAACATTAGAGAGCTTTTTAGCAGCTAGGCCAACTCCTGTGAGTGTTCCATACATTAATTTTTTGGAGGGTGGATTCCTCTGTAAAAGGGGAACTTCTGCTGTTGAATTGCTCCTGGATTGCTCTTAAGTGCACATCTCCAGCCCCTTGCTGACAGGCCCGCCAGAAGCCCCATCTTTAAAAGAGATGACTAACCTTCTTCCACAGCAGACCTTGCTCTTTCTAAAGTTCTAATCTAGTCTCTCATCATTTGCATAATAATCACTCACGTGTAAAAACTCTACACTTTACAGAGCACTTCACCAGACGTTAGCGAGCTTCGCCCTCACCGCAGAGCCCTGTAGGGTGGCTGGAGAATGCGTTATTAGCGCGCTTTGGCAGGTGAGGAGGTTAAGACTCCAAAAATGTCACTCTTGTTCGAAGTGACAGAAATTTCGAGAGCTGAACCTAGAACTCTGCTGATAAACACTTTTACTGCTCTTTCCAATAAACTGTGTGTTCCATTGTGTAGGCCGTCCACAAACACAAAGGAGTTGCTGAGAATCTGGAAAGTTAAGTAACGGGCCCACAGACAAATGCCTGCAATTCTGGGTTAAAATCGCTCAACGTGCAGGGATGGCAGACGCGCCCAGGTCGTATCAGGTGACGGAGGTTGATCCTGAAAGGCAGAGGGAAGAAAAGAGAAGGAGACACAGCGACGGGAGAGCCAGGCTTCTTGGAGGCCAGAGGCCCGTCAAAGTGCCTCTGTAGCTGCTTTATGTTCCCGGTTCCCTCCGGAAGGGCCAAGGTCAGTGTCAGAGGGCACGATACAGAGAGGTCAGATTTCAGGACTGAGAAGAGCGAGCCCCTACCTTTGCAAGGGGAGGGGGGCATTTTTAATTACGCAATGCGTGAGAAGGCTTACAAAGAGTATATTCTTGGGAAAAGTAGGCAAAATAAGGGGCCCTAATTCTTTGCTAAGAGTTGGGCTTTGGTTGGTGATTTAAGGACACAGACACAGTGGATGGGGAAAACACAAAGAAAAGGAAACGAGGGGTAATACAATAAAAAGTCAACAAACCGTCAGTTAATCACGGAGCACTTACAAGAGGAAGCAAAAGTGCAGGCGGGACTTGACCTCAGGGTGGGTCATAGAAGGTGCTTAGCCCAGTTCCAGCCCAGGAGTGTGGCTGTTACCTTTGCTCTCCTTTTTGATGCAGATATAGAGCCATAAAAACTAGTGAGGCGTTTTAATGCTCAGGTAGGCAGATAGGACAAAGTCTCACACCTCCCTGAACTTCTACTGTGTGAAGTCCTATTTCCAAATGTGATTCAATCTGTGGTATTTTTAAGATACTTTGAATCTCTGTATTACAACATTCTGCTGTATTTCTTTAGAAATACTCTCTTCTAGAAAGTAGACAGTAGGAAATGCCCCACCCCTCACTGGGAAGGCAGGGCGGATCTAGTGTCTCTGTCTTTGACAGGAAACCATCATCTAGAGCTCTTTTTTCTAGTCTTTCTTTTCAGCAGTCCATCAGTATGAGATCAAAACCAGATTCCTATACATCACCATGCGCAGGCAAGGCTGGATCGGCCTATTTGCATGAGCCTCTCTGGCAACGAAGGCCGACAGAGAATAAACATTATGGAGTTCACAAAACTTGGACCACGAGGCCCTGCTTCTGAAGCCAAACCACCCCAAGAAAAGTAAAGAAGAACCTCTCAGTGATATTTTATCTGTCTCCCTCTGTTGAGGGGGAAGTCCTTAACCCCAAAGATGCTGTGGATTTTTTGCCTCCGCCCAGCTAAACAAGAGATTAAGGAACTAAAGGGTAGTTGAGGTTCAGAGTGAAAATGTGAACAGGTTATGCTGATGGTTTCTACTGAGCAATAGCGGCCTCAAGATTTGGGCCCATCTTTATAGGGACACAGGAAGCAGCAGCAGAGATCCTTCAGGGGAAGTGTCGAGTAACATGCCCCCGATATTTCAATTTTAATGAACTGATCCAAAAAATCAAGAAACAAAATACTTTATGAACAGACATAAAATGCCCACTTTATCTAGCTTTTGTCCATTTATTCTATTCATTACCTATCTGTCTGCCTGCCTGCCTGTCTACCTTCTACCTACTTGACAGGCCAGTCCCGTGGTTAGTATCCCAAGATCCCTTCACATGATCACTGGGAATATAAACTGAGTGTGTGTGGATAAAGTCTGAGGCATTATGATGCTTCATGATAAAGTATGATTCCTTATCTACGTCTGGAGAAAGATGAGGACACCCGCTTAGGGATGCTTTCGATACTGCAAGGATCCAGCTGGAGTCTCTTTGGTATCCTATTTGCTATCGTTTTCCATAGAAAAAAAGTGGAAGGCAGGAATAATCAGTGAGCTTTCACCAAAAAACCAAAAACCAGAAAACCTCTTCTCACCTGTCTACTCCTAATGTAAGTGGCAGCGGCTGTCTTTGCCCTTGGAGCAATTTGAGATTTTGCACTCTCCCCACGCTGCTTATTATAAGTTGAATTACAAGAGTGACTCTCAGAGGATTATGCTATGGAGAAGTTTTTAAGATCTTTGCAACTTCTGGGGTATTCTGTAACGTGCTTCCTTGTGGAATATGATGATTACTAATACGATAAAAAGCATTTAGCCATACTGAGGACATAGTCATGCCAAGCAGCTGTAGGAGGTAACATCGTTGTTTATAAAAATCAGAGTACGTGAATATATTTTCCTGACAATTCACACCCAAAATAAATAAAAATCCAACATGAACAGCCTTGCCCATAATTAATAACGAGAGTAAATAGGTTGCATGGTGACAGGCAAACAATTAAATTATTTGTTTCCTGGGGGCATGTAATGAGATTGTTATCACATTCCCAGGAGGGAGACAAATAGATATTAAAAAGGTCTTTCCAATACCTGTATCGGCTGAGGCCAACAGCTAATTCAATAGATTCGATCAAAATTTCCGTTTCTTTCGCGGCTCCTGATCTATGACCTTGGCTGTAGGTAGTCATCGCTCACTGCAGTTTGCTCTCCAACGCTCATACATTACGCCTCACAAAATGAAAAGATACAATCAACGAGAGCATATCAATTCAGCCGCAACCTCGGAGCACCTTCTCCCAGGGCGCTCACGCCACAGCCTTTCAGAGGGCAGCCTGTCTCGGCTTCTGAGTGGGTCTGAAGAGCCACGCGCCGAAGGGGGCTTCGCCAGAGCTGCGGTGACAGAGACGCGAGGCGAGGGGCGGCGAGAGGCAGGGCGTCGGAGGGGACTTGATTGCGGGGCTGGGCATTTCCTGAGCGACCCCGCGGCTGCGGCCACGAGGCGATGACTTGCTGAAAAGCCACGTGGAGCTACCTGTCCGAGGGGCTACCTGACTGATTTTCTTTCAACGTCAAGTGGGCCTTTTCAGCATCTCTGTTCGCTTGGTGCTTCGCTGGATACATTTCAGTTGCACTTGCCCAGATACTGTCCCTGGTTCCTTTCATCTCAAACCCTTTCAATCAGGCAAGAAGGGTCGTGATGTTCATGGAATTCTGGGACCCAGGGGCCAGAGGACATTGTCTGACTTTCTACTGGCACGACTGAAGTTCAGAGAGGCCAAGCTGCCGAAGAGGTTTCAGAACACTTCCCTTGGAGAAGTGGCTGTCTTCAGTCGCTGCTGCCAAAAAGCACGCCGCCTTGCTCTTCGGAGTCATTCGATAACGATGACCTGGTTCTCGTCTAATGTATGCGGGAGGAGAAACTGGTTTCCGTATTAGTGGGAAATACCGAAATTAGCCTCGACTGGATTTTAGCAACGATTATGAAAATTTGGAACTGATCACATGCTACTTTTCATCACTGATCTCAGTTCTCCGTGCGCAAAGCCAGGAATCCAGCCCCGCCCTGCTCCTGCGGAGGACACACAGCCACAGCTTCTGAGTTTGCTGACCCCGTGCGCTCTGTAAGTGT